TTCTACCTTGGAGTCAATGTTCCTTCTACCTTGGAGTTAATGTTCTTTCTACCTTGGAGTTAATGTTCCTTCTACCTTGGAGTTAATGTTCCTTCTACCTTAGAGTTAATGTTCCTTCTACCTTGGAGTTAATGTTCCTTTTACCTTAGAGTTAATGTTCCTTCTACCTTAGAGTTAATGTTCCTTCTACCTTGGAGTTAATGTTCCTTCTTAATTGGAGTTAATGTTCCTTCTACCTTGGAGTTAATGTTCCTTTTACCTTAGAGTTAATGTTCCTTCTACCTTAGAGTTAATGTTCATTCTACCTTGGAGTTAATGTTCATTCTACCTTGGAGTTAATGTTCCTTCTACCTTGGAGTTAATGTTCCTTCTACCTTGGAGTTAATGTTCCTTCTACCTTGGAGTTAATGTTCCTTCTACCTTAGAGTTAATGTTCATTCTACCTTGGAGTTAATGTTCATTCTACCTTGGAGTTAATGTTCCTTCTTAATTGGAGTTAATGTTCATTCTACTTCAGATGTATTGTCTGTCAATCCTGGATGTATTTTCCACCTACTCTGATTATTTTTTTCCATCAACCCACAATGTTATCCTCTGTTGACCTCTGACACTGTGTTCTGTCAACCTCTGATTCAGTGTTCTATTGACTTATGAAGTTATGTTTTCTTTCATCCTTTCAAATTTTGTCCTCTACATTTGATGCTATGTTCAACCTACTTTTGTTATCTTTACTTGTGAAGTTAAGCGTTCCTTAATCATTTGACATTTTGTTCTCTCTACATTTGACGCTATGTTCATCTACTTTTGATGTAATGTTATCTTGACTCCTGAAGTTAAGTTTTCTTTAATCATTTGAATTTTTTTCTGTGTACATTTGATGCTAGGTCATCTACATTTGATGCAATGTCATGTTGACCTCTGACATAATTTTCTGTCGACATGTAAAGTTTCATCTACCTATATTCCACCTACTTGAGATGTAAAGGTTGTCAACCTTTGAGTGATCGTTCTGTCAACCTTACTTCCGTTTACAAAGTATGTTTATCCTATTCTACCATGACAGAACTAATTTCAATTCTTTGATGGTAGCAAATATAGAAATGAAGTTGTCAAGTCTGAGGCCTTTAGTTGGATGCCAGCTTTAGTAAAGAATCATTTATTATGGTCTTTCAAACAAATATCTACTCAAACATTGATTGTTCATGAGTGATCACAAGCAGTCATAGAATATCACTATTTGATACTGTCTGTCATACAGGTTTGAGAAAGTGCCTTTCCACAATGCATGTATTAGAGTCATGTTATTGAGATTTGAAACCTCTTTCAACAAATCAGATTCAAGCCTTCCCAAAACTTCGTGGGTGAAGAAGGTGTTATTTTATTCTGCATGGCCCAGCTCAATCCAATTGCAATAAATTAATGAGCTTCATAACCCCAATCTGGACTGAACCCCTCCTACATCCAAAGCCTCCAAACTGTTGCCATGCAGTGCCCATCCAGGTCTCAGTGTTCAATATGTTCTGCAGCTCGCTATCCAACCAGTTCCCACCCATATACACAACTGTCTGCAACTGCATCATTTCTAATTTCCCTCTCTGCATCCTGATCAATGTTTATGAATGTTTGAATGGCATTACAAAGTGTGATGTTATACACATGTAGTTTTTTCCTTCCCTTCAAGCAACCGGAAAGTTAATTGCAAATCTTTAATTGTAATTGAATAATGCTTGCTACATAAGATCCTTCTGGACGAAGGTGGTTTAAAGTCATGATTTACTTCACAATGGAATGATGCATAATTAAGGTCTAACAAAGACCTGCTCCATTGATGTTCAATAGACCGACATTTGAATAAAAACTTTCCACAGACAAAATCAATCCTACAGAGCTTGAACCAGATAAGGTATCCTTCACATATACTCGGAGGATTGCGTAAATATGCTTTTATTGGTTTGTAATGAAACAGTTTCAGGAGATATTTTTCAAACAGGTTTTCAGAAATAATATTTCCTAGTATTTCCTTTTATTCTAAGTACAGTCAATATTTGAACATATTAATCAATACAGGTTCATAAGATGGGCGTTTTAATCAGTCATTGAGAAAGTAGTATTACACAAATGTAACTGGGGAAAATAGGGCATGTATTGACTGGCAACCATATTGGTATGGGTGATTTCTTGAAGAGGAGATCCTGAGACTTAAACATCATGAAATGATATTCAATATATGTCTTGTGTGATGAACGCAATGTTTCATGTGGTTTCTTACCAAAATGTTTTCTATTCATGATGCGAAGTTTAATCTGCTATTAAATTGTGCTAAAGTATGTTAGGGGATGGGCATATTGAGTTGATTTCAGTGTCTACCATTTGTGAACTTTGATGATAGGAGGAATTAACATTTGATGACGCATTTACAAGAGACAATCATAGTTCCATTGAGAACAAGGCTTATTGTGATTATGCCATTGCTATAAAACCATTATGCCATCTACTCTCTGCATGATGTGATTGACAGAATCATGTTGAATTTGAATGACCAGTCCCCTGTTGCCTTGACAATGCTTTGCATGCGCTTTGCATGATGTCTGTTGCCTAGTAACAGAAAATTAACAATCACACAACTGAATTTAGTGTGGATTTTCACTGTGTTCCAATATGAGAGATGCAACTTGGTGCATGCATTCTTCACAGGAGTATTATCGCCTGTTGATCTTCAGCTGATTCAATAGCAAGGTGTTAACGTGTTTGTCATTAAATTCCTGTGGCATTTTGCTGCTGGTTAAATCAGGAATGATAGGTGAATGCCATCGCGGCACAAAGTTCAAACTGTGTTTATTTTCTGAGTAATCGACTGTTTAGAGGGAATTGCCAAACTCATCAAATGAGCACAAGGCCGTTTAGTTTTACAATTACAGATTTGTTTTTTGTGTGCTCTCTCATGTCATCGATAAAGTGCATGTCATTATCTTGTACACATTTGCTGGTTATTTTCAGACACAGTAATTCAGAGTAATTATTAGAAATCTTGATTTCAGGCCAGATTTGTTCAGTATGTTTAGAAATGATTGTAATTCCTTGAAGGTACTGAAATAGAAGGCACTGCAACTGCTGCAGATATTGAAAAGGGTTGTTTTGGAATGCTTTAAATGGTTTGGGGTTGGTGTTTGGGTTTGTGTCAAAATGTGTTCATCCCAAGGTCAGGGGTTGTGTATGAGAGGGTGTTCAACCCAGGGTAGGAAATCGAGGGAGAGGGTGTTCACATTTGGATCAGAAGTTGTGGTAACAAAGTGGTAATCACTGAGTCAGGGCTTGTGGGAGGTGTTCATTGGGTCAGGGTTTGTGAGAGAGGGTGTTCACTGAGTCAGGGCTTATGAGAGAGGGTGTTCACTGAGTCAGGGTTTGTGGGACAAGGTGTTCACCACTGAGTCAGGGTTTGTGAGAGAGGGCGTTCACTGAGTCAGGGCTTGTGAGAGAGGGCGTTCACTGAGTCAGGGCTTGTGGGACAAGGTGTTCACTGAGTCAGGGCTTGTGAGAGAGGGCGTTCACTGAGTCAGGGCTTGTGAGAGAGGGCATTCACTGAGTCAGGGCTTGTGGGAGAGGGTGTTCACTGAGTCAGGGCTTGTGAGAGAAGGTGTTCACTGAGTCAGGGCTTATGAGAGAGGGTGTTCACTGAGTCAGGGCTTGTGGGACAAGGTGTTCACCACTAAGTCAGGACTTGTGAGAGAGGGTGTTCACTGAGTCAGGGCTTGTGAGAGAGGGTGTTCACTGAGTCAGGGCTTGTGGGACAAGGTGTTCACCACTAAGTCAGGGCTTGTGAGAGAGGGCGTTCACTGAGTCAGGGCTTATGAGAGAGGGTTTTCACTGAGTCAGGGCTTGTGGGAGAAGGTGTTCACTGAGTCAGGGCTTGTGAGAGAGGGCGTTCACTGAGACAGGGCAATTTAGAGAGGGCGTTCACTGAGTCAGGGCTTTTGAGAGAGGGCGTTCACTGAGACAGGGCTTGTTAGAGAGGGCGTTCACTGAGTCAGGGCTTGTGAGAGAGGGTGTTCACTGAGACAGGGGTTCATGGCTTTGTCAGGCTTCTTGACAAAGGATGTTTAATGCAAGGTTGGAGGATGGAAGGTAACACCCTTACCTTCCATTTCTCAATCTGAGATATGTTGGTCAAGGGTGTTCAACACCAGTACACAAGATTTTCAGGTGTTGTTGGAGAAGACAGATGTAGGAAAGGGTATGTAATTTATAGGTAACTCTTCTCAATTGCTCAGGGAAAGATCATGGTCAGTGTTTTCTTAATGTACAGGGTCAGAAGGTTTAATTATAGGGTCAGAGGGTTTAACTATTGGGTCAGAGTGTTTAACTATTGGGTCAGAGGGTTGATGGGCAAAACATGCCGATTGCTGACTGTCATGAGTGTTTGTTTGAAATATTTCACAATGTTTGCAAATGTTTAAGAAGGTGATTTGAAGTTAATTTTGCAGATAATGGTGTAAGGGAGGTAACTGCTGTAACAGAGGTATTTGTATTTGTTAAGAAAGCAATTAAATGAATATGTAGTTTTTGTGGTCAAAGCATTTTAGTTAAAAATATGTATATGTTAAATTCATTTCCTCTCACTTAAAACTTTCAAACCATGCAAATTTTAAGACAGTGTGTTATGTAGGTGTTTCATGTTATGACAGTCTAAGATCTTTTATCTAAAACAGTCAAATACCTTTGAAAGTAGCTTTATGAAATGGTAATAAGTTGCTGCAAGTACATACAGGACATCAATTATAGCAAACCTTTGTTGCGTCTTCCATTTGTAAACCAGCTTAGATAAACTTTTATCCAATGTTTATTGATACATGCTAGTTAATTCTTCCATTTCTATTCCATTCTGTAGAGGACATAACACTGACATGTTTGTTTCACAGGAATCTGATGACAGAGGTGTCAACAATACAATGTGGATAGCATGTATATTTCATACCACTGATGAAACACATCGTCTATTTCAGAGCTGTGGAGTATGGCATAGATACAGAAAACCTCAGCATATCTGCAATAAGAACAATCCGTGTGCTTCGTCCATTGAGGGCCATCAACAGAATACCCAGTGAGTAGATGATGATGATGATGATGATGATGATGGTACAGTAGACTAACTTTTAGTACCAGAAATAGTCATCTTAAAATATATATCTAAAAAATATTGAATGAATTCCAAATGGAGCCCAGAACAATGCTTATTTTCAGGAGCGAGGCAATCTAGACTTGCCATATCATTCTAGACTTGAGTTGGATTCCTTTCTTAATTTATTCTCTTGGGTCTGGGAGACAGACTAGTGGTATGGATATGGCTGGATATATATATATATGCTTACCTTTTTGAAACCAAAAGCCTGCCAAATTATACCTAGGCACCTGGGTGCTACATTGGATCCTCCTCCTATGGGTCTGAGTTTAAACAATATCTCTCCATCAAGTTGAAGCCCCTGTTCAGCCCCCTGTTCAGCCAGGGACTTGCTGTCAGATAGTGTGGAGCTACAGGGATGTCCACATCAGCCTCTATTGGACATCAGTGGGAGAAGCAGGAATATTTTACTGTGCTTCAATTACTGACAGGGATGGAGAACACCAATGTGAAATCTCCTGAATATCTCCATCCAATCATGGATCAATGCATGAGACAATGTTTGTGAAAAGGGACATTGAAAGAATTGAGCAACAAGAAGAAGAAGTAATGTTACAATGTGCTTAACAGTTTGTTTTAATTAATGCACACACAAAAAATGCAAATACTCTCTGTTCCCTCGGGCACTCCTGTTAAACCTGCAGATTTACATCTGAATTTAAGCACAGCAATCTGGCATTGTATTTCGACAAGCCAGCGTTACGTTTGTTTGCCTGGTGAGGGTGCAGTATCCATCACTACCTGTTCACTTGTGTCAGACTGTTAGACGGATACATATAACCCTTATGACAACTGACACATGGCTATCACTATTCAGCACTAGATAATATCAGCAATTCTTACACCAGTGAGTGAGAGGTGCAAGTCACTCTTGAAGATGCAAGTCAATGTTGAACCAGTTTGTGGAAGATGCAAGCTACTAATGAACCAGCTTGTGAAAGATGCAAGTCAATGTTGAACCAGTTTGTGGAAGATGCAAGTCAATGTTGAACCAGTTTGTGAAAGATGCAAGTCACTATTGATCCAGTTAGTGGAAGATGCAAGTCAGTGTTGAACCAGTTTGTGGAAAAAGCAAGTCACTATTGATCCAGTTTGTAGAAGATGCAAATCAATGTTGAACCAGTTTATGGAAAATGCAAGCTACTAATGAACCAGTTGGCGAGAGATGCAAGTCAATGTTGAACCAGTTTGTGAGAGATGCAAGTTACTAATGAACCAGTTTGTGAGAGATGTCAGCCAATGATGTTAAGGATGACAGCCAGCATTGAATCTTGAAGAGATTCAAGACATTGTATAAAAGGCTATTGAGAGTTGCCAGCCACTACTAAATGTATTGCTCAGACGTGATACTCCCTTTTACATAATATTTGGAGAGGCGACAGTCAACAGAAAACTATTTGTCATAGTCAGTCACTGTTGAAGGGTTATTGACCACCGGGCAATTATTATGAAAAATAATAAGTTTATGGTAAATTTAAACCAGGTTGTGAGCAATGCTCGCCCTATGCAAGGTGGCAGGAACTATCAAACCTACCTTTATTGGAAATACCTGACACACGTAGGACCACAAAATGATATTTAGCTTTCAAATATGTACTTGTAGCAACACCATATCTGTATTGACCACACACATTTTAGAATAATGTCATTGTGGCATACAAATTCTTCAGAATACTGGTATGCCTTGTGGGGATTCCATGCTGGAATTGCTCCCTAGCCATCTATGTTGTTTGTAAGATGCAACTTCATGGATTGGGTGGTCAGGCTTGGTGACCTGGTTGATGGTGTGTCATCGTACCCTATGTATGGATCGTTGCTCATATTATCAATCACTGGATTGAATATTTACAGGCTGCTGGAATTTTGCTGGAATATTATATGTCATTAAACAATAAACAAAGTTCAGAATGCCTTGGCAACAGGTAACTAAATATGAGGTATGATGGTTACAGTGTGCAAGGAGTCATGGTTGGCCGTCGTCTAAGGTGCCACAGTTCACTGTTCAGAGTTGCAGCCCTTGGGCATTCCAGAAACCTATGATTATGGGTTCGAATCCCTGCTCACTGCTAAAAAACATTCTCTCAAACAGTATATACAGTCAAACAGCTATACAACTGTGACCTCTGATCCAGCTGCTTGATTTGATATAACCATTGGGAGCATCAGTGGCCCAGTTGTCCATAACTCCCTGTTATTTACTGGTTGTTTCTCTCAGTACTGGCTCGGGTCACCCCGTTAGAATTGGTGCCCAGAAACCTTTGCTGGTAGTAAGTGAGTGAGTGAGTTGGGTTTAACGCCGGTTTTAACAGTATTCCAGTTATATCACACCATGTCAGCTTAATGTGGGAGGAAAGCCCGAAGTGATGCAGGTCTCAGACGTTTACCACTTCAGTGAAACCCACGAGCACAGGTATGGTGCTGACAAACCTAGAAACCTAATCTGGGCGAACCGGGATTCGAACCCACAATCATTGGTTTCTGGCGTGTCCAAGGGATGCAACTCTGCACAGCGACTGGGCCAACCATGCCCCCTGCTGGTAGTAAGAGCAGTAAATACATCGGGTGGTCAGGCTTGGTGACTTGGTTAATTACATGTCAACACATGCCAATGTCTGGATCGTTGCTTGTAATATCAGTCAGTGCATTATCTAGGTCAGACTCAATTATTTACAGGCTTTCATCATATAGGTGGAATATTGCTGGGGTCTGTTGTTTGAGGGTTTGAATCCAACATTCAACCTGATTGTGATCACCAATGTGATAACACCTTGGACCTATGTTTCTTATGGCTTCCCTGGCATATTTTGCTGATAAGACATTTTATAACTGAAATTGTATTTAAAGTGGCATCAAACCCCAATGACTCACTCCCTTCTTTCTGTTTCAGGCATGCGTATCCTGGTGATGCTCCTCCTCGACACCCTCCCCATGCTGGGGAATGTTCTCTTGTTGTGTTTCTTCGTCTTTTTTATATTCGGGATCATCGGTGTACAGTTATGGGCAGGGGTTCTACGAAACAGATGTTTTTTAGATATTGGGGAAAATATTTCATATGTGTAAGTATATCACTGGTTATTTTGTCATTTTATTTTTTAATCTTTTATTTCAAAACTCTCATCTCATGAGTGTCACAATTGTGAAATGGCCTTGAGAGGGTATCCAGTAGGATGAGATGGTAATGTGCCTCTTAGGCAGCATGGGTTGTATATCGGCTTTGAACATGATGTCAGCATGGAAAAGTGCCACACAAATGGACTATTATTATTAGTAGTATACCGTGAAAATCCGGGGTAGAATAGGTCTTCAGCAACCAATGCTTGACGTAAAGGCGACTATGCTTGTCGTAAGAGGCGACTATGCTTGACGTAAGAGGTGACTATGCTTGTCGTAAAAAGCACTAATGGGATCCCAATTGTGTGGATTGATGTTCATGATGTCAATCACTGGATTGTCTGGTCCAGACTTGATTATTTACAGACTGCCGTCATATAGCTGGAATATTGCTGAGTGCGGCGCTAAACAACAAACAAACAAACAAACAAATAGTTGTGGTATAGTATTCGCATAAACTTAACAGATGCTTAGTTATTAGTTTTAAATTAATGTCATTGAATGCAGTCTTAAAAAATGAACTATAAACATTTCTGTACTTAAATCAAAATTAAACAAATTCTCCAGTTTGTCTGCCAAGTTTGGAATTCTAGATAACACCCTGCATAAGTAAATGAGGATTTGGAAGAAACATATTGACAAGCAGTACATATGCTACATCAGCTGATGACGGGTCCCCTGTACCTCATGCTTTTCTATAAGAAGCCTCCAAAGTTAGGACACATGGTCACAGTGTGTGCCATGGCTGATTGTGTGTGACAGTACCCTGATTATATATTTCATTGACCATGCAATTAGACAATTGTTTGCCAGGGTCTTGGTAAACGAAGCTTTCCTTATGCTGAAACTGTCATAACTCCCCAGACATTGAGAATGAATATTGGTTGTAAAGAAATATTGAGCATAATATCTCTTTGATATTTGTACATGTGCATATGGTTATCAATCCTGATTGGTCAGTTGAAGTGATATGACGTAACATTCCTTTATCGTTGAGAGGCTCTACCTGGATCAGGTCATCAGGCGAGGTGACTGTGCTGATTTACATGCCATTGTACCCTGCTAGTGATCATAATATCAAGCACATGTTTGTCTGGTCCAGATCTGATTTTTCCAGGACACCATGATTGTGGTGTTAACACCAGACAAAGAAACATCAAAGCAGAGTAAGACCCATTACTCGCTCGCTGAGATGTTAAATCGTAATTAGTCCGTATGTTTTCTACTCCATTTCAGACATAATCTGCCTTGGTTTTACCAGCCTAAGAAGGGGGATTACATCTGTAGTCAGGAGGGGATGTCAGGGATGCGGACATGTGGCAACATACCTCCATTTGAATTTGAAGGATTTAAGTGCAACGGTAGTGCCAAGGAATACAGCAATAACACTCCCACATCAGAGTCCTGCGTCAATTGGAATCAGTATTATTCGACATGTCAGCCTGGAGACAGGAATCCATTCCGGGGAGCTATATCGTTTGACAATATAGGATTAGCATGGGTAGCTATTTTTCAGGTGAGACAATACAAAGAGGATGGTGAAGACAAAGTTTTTCTTTTTCATAAATGCATCATGTAGCAATGTAAAACACAAGATAGACTGACATAATGTTTATGAAATCTTTCATTTTCCCTATTTCATGCGGGGCGGTCGGGTAGCCTAGTGGTTAAAGCGTTAGCTCGTCACGCCGAAGACCCGGGTTCGATTCCCGACATGGGTACAATGTGTGAAGCCCATTTCTGGTGTCCCCCGCCGTGATATTGCTGGAATATTGCTAAAAGCGGCGTAAAACCATACTCACTTACTCACCTATTTCATGCAGAATATGGCTGACTGGCCTATCTTTTGTATCTAAACTGTTTATAATTTAATTGAGTGCAGATATTCAGCTGTCAGTCAGTAGGACTTGCCACCTGATAAATGCTGCAATAAGTATTCACCATTGAAATGTAGTGCAATATATTAAGGGCAGCATATAGTTTTTCTGTGCTAACTGCTAAGAGTGAATCAGGTTTTCTTCATTATTACTTCGTTATTATTTTTGTGACATAATTTGCTGAGGGTGTCGTGATGACCTACTCCATTTGAGAATACATAGCATGATACTTTAGTTATGATATGTTATGTATTACGACACTTAATTTCCGGTGTTTTTGCATGAAACATCAGGTTATGTGTCAGTTTTACAAATTTATTAACATTTTAAAGGGTCTCTTGTCTCTGGAAGTGCACTGCTGTTGGTACTATCTAAATGCCTGTGCCCTAACATCTACCTGTGATACCCCTTATTATGGTTCATGACACCCCTGATAATTGTTCATGACACCCCTGGTAATTGTTCATGACACCCCTGATAATTGTTCATGACATCCCTGATAATTTTCATGACACCCCAGATAATTAATTGTTCACGACACCCCAGATAATTGTTCATGACACCCCTGATAATTGTTCATGACAGCCCCTAATAATTTCATATGATACCCCTAATAATTTCTCATGACACCCTAATAATTGTTCATGACACCACCTGATAATTAATTGTTCACGACACCCCAGATATTTGTTCATGACGCCCCTGGTAATTGTTCATGACAGCCCCTAATAATTTCTCATGACACCCTCATAATTGTTCATGACACCACCTGATAATTTCTCATGACACTCTATAATTGCTTCAAGTCCCCTCTCCTATGTGTTCACTGTATGTTTCAAGTGTGTGCGTATTGTATGTTTCAGGTGATAAGTTTAGAAAGCTGGGTGAATATTATGTACTATGTTCAAGATGCTCATTCCTTCTGGGACTGGACCTACTTCGTTGCTCTCATTGTGGTAAGTGTGGCATTTGGAATGTTCAAAAGTGTCTTCCTTCAGTGATGACATCTGGTCAAAGCCATGACTGGCCTGAAAAGCCAGTTGGTTGATGGGAGGGGGTTGGTTGGTCTAAATACCACCCCCTTAGTTTTACCATGCTCACCGAATCTTGGGTTCAAACTCAAATTTGCTCTGATTATGATGTTTGGTTTGTCAGCACCATGCCCCTGCTGGGTTATCCACCTCACTCACTGGGGTAAATATTTTGTGAAATATTATGCACTTCAATCAAGGTCATCCCTTTTGAAACAATCAGATGAATAACCTTTCTAGCTGATAGGTTTCCAATTGTCGGCCTAGATAGTTGGGATTTCCAATTGTAGGCCGAGATAGCTGGGATTTCCAATTGTACGCCTAGATCGTTGGGATTTCCAATTGTAGGCCTAGATAGTTGGGATTTCCAATTGTAGGCCTAGATCATTTGGATTTCCAATTGTACGCCTAGATAGTTGGGATTTCCAATTGTAGGCCTAGATAGTTGGGATTTCCCATTGTAGGCAAAGATAGTTGGGATTTCAATTTGTGGGCAAAGATTTCCAATTGTAGGCATAGATAGTTGCTGAAATTCAATATTGTTTTGCTTGTTCTTGCCATTGCCTACTATTCCGATGTACAGAAATACTACTATTGTGATTTTGATATTATGGATTACATTTATGACTTTCTTTAATATATCATCTTCTATTTTTATTCCAGATTGGCTCATTTTTTATGATCAACCTGTGTTTAGTTGTCATAGCAACTCAATTTTCTGAAACTAAGAAACGAGAGACTGAGCGAATGCTTCAGGAGAGAAAGCGTTACCAGTCTTCAAGTACTATAGCAAGCAACTCCGAGCCAGGAGGCTGTTACTCGGAGCTCTTGAAACTTCTTGTGCATTACGCCAGGAGAGCAAAACGGAAACTTATACGATATTATTTTAGACATAGAGGCAAAAGGCAGCGAAAAGTTAACCCAGAAAAAGCTATATCTTTACGAAAGAAGAAAAACAGGAAGAAAGGTATTCAAACAGTGTATTTACATCAACCTCATCATCAACATCATCATCACCACCACTTGAACATTGTGACACCGGATATCTTCCCGTCTCGGGCCGCTTCTTTGGATAGTGCACAAGCTCCGCGCGCCAGTCCTGAGGCTTCGGATGTGGATCCTATATCATCGCCAAGACGACCAAACTTCTTAATGTTACCGAGTAACAACAATAGTCTTAATCCTTCTTCGGAATCCTTAAACACATTGCCGTATGCAGCAGAGGCTTTGACACCGACGTTGTTCAAACCCCTACCCTCGCCCAACCATCTCACTGCAAATTACTCTTTGAGTCGAACCTCATCCTTTAATTGCGGGGCTATGGGTAGTGCCAAAAATATGCCCTCTCTCCCTGAGGTTCTCGCTGCGCATGGCGCAAAGAACGCTGCCCTTGCCGCCTCAAATTTACTGCTGAATGTCGACACTGATACCAATAAACTCCAATCGCTAGTAGATAAAGGTGAGTTATCTCCCCTCCTGCTCCAGCCACATCACATGACCACACAGAAAGAAATGGAAGTTTGTGGAAATCCATTGAAATTTTTGCAAAGCAGATTTTAGATACTGCATGGAATTAGCATTATCTCATTTTAGATTTGGAACTGTTTTGGAATGTTCAGGTCTTAGAATGTTGAATATAGAAATTTTCCCAAAATATTAGTGTTTGTGCTTTAGAATTTCTTCAGAATTTCTATATGTCATGTGAAGAAACATGGTCATATGTAGCTATGAAATAGTTGATTTCGGTAGTTAGTAGAAAATCTTGGTCAGAAACAGTTCTACATTTCCCATTTCTTTTAGTAATATTTGGAGCAGACATTGACTTCATATATGTATGATGTATAAGGATTCATTTCATATTTATTTGTTCTAGTGCTTTCCATATACAGAAACAACATTTTTTTAAGTGATGGAGGCGTATATAACAATAGCTTTCTAAGTATGTTAACGAATATGTATTCTTCACATTTTAAGATTAAACGAGCTAAGCATTTTATCTCCTATTCCTCATAAGTGTAATTGTTAATTTCTACATTGTCGCCAAATTAAACCATTGTTATGCTCTCAAATAATTTTCTAAGACAAACTCTGAAGTTAGTGTCTGTTCTGCAGTGCAAAGGTTTTCCAAAGACGTATCATATTTCATAATGACAATATAATAATATTATTTCATAATAATCAGAATAAGGAAGATGTTTTTTATGTCTTTCCTGATCATACCTATCAACAATAATTGACCCGAGTTCATGTGAAACTTGTCAGACACGTGGATGTATTATCTCACTGTCGGTCTTTGGAAGGTCATTGTATGTGATATACACACAAGCACTGAGTTGCTGCACAAGTATACATAAGTGATTGACAGGTCACTGTGACACAACAGGTAAATTTCAAAAACGGTACCACTGGGTTCTGGAGTTTTATCACAAGGATAAAATATTTTCTTTTTGTTCAACATCAACTTAAGATAAAAATTAACATGATGATACAATTAACCTGTAATATATTTTGTGAAGAAATCCATTGCCACACATTAAAAGATAGATTAAATTTACCTAAACCACAGTAGCATCATCAACTAAGAGAAAACTCAATGATGATATGAGGGATGGGGGACATTTTCTCTCCAAAACCCAGTGTGCTGTTCCTAGTATATATGCCTGGATAGACTGGTTTCTCTATATTTATTGGGGTATGGCATCAACATGGCTGTCTGTCTGCTGCTTTCTCATATATCCATTAGAGATTTCTTTTATAATGACACATATATATGCATTTCCTAGATCACGAATATAGTTTTAGGTATTATGACAATTGAATTGAATTTTACCTAATTTTTTTTAAACACAGTCTCAGTTCATGTCATTCACATTTTTGTCTTTTATCCTGCTTTTACCACAGATGAGAAACATATAACCCCACTTTTCAGGTTTACCAGAAATCATAGACAACATTTATGTTTCTTTCAAATCATTTTTTCCAAATTGTTTCTTTTTTACCATTTGTGGATTGGTTGATACATGTCACTCTCTTTGTTAGTGGACATTAGTTTTAGAAGTAGTTTTGATGTATATTCATAGTTCAATCTGTATTTTCTAGACATTTACCGTGCTCCCTTGAATTGTGAATTCTTTTGTCTTTTTTGTAATTTCAGTCACATTAGAATTAACTTCTTTAATACTGTTTGTATCACTTTGGAAAGTCCAATTTCAAATTATCAATTCAATTGATTCTTTAGTTTTTAATTTCATGAATTGGGAGCACTGTATCTTTTCCTACACTGCTTTTTGTTTGTGCACAGCATGCTTTCCTAAGCTTTTTGGCCAATCCAGTGGCTTGATTCACGTCACATGACAAGCAGTGAGGGCAGATAACGTTTACACTACAACTTCTCTACAACTCCGAAGCCTCACCGTAGACCTCGAACGATGTCGAATTTCCTGTCGTTTATTTCTCGATGCGTGCATTTTTCTATCTGGTTGTCTTCATAAAAGTATTGATCTTGTAAAGTCCTGTATATTTTTCTAATATTACCAGTTTGGTACCGTTTTAATTTCTCCTTACATCTCCCATGCTGATCAGATCTTTTAACTGTGATTTCAAAATATGAAGCCTACAATGGTAAATTTATGAATAATATGTTAATTATTTGGATTAATTGTCAAATTTTGAAAGTTCTGGCCAGCAGAAGAACAACTCCTAGTTAAGAGCTCTCATATGTGGAAATGTTGCAAACCTTGTTTTGGTTGATTCAATGAAAAACATTTTTATCTCTTTCGTGAACTTAAAGAAAAACAAAATCCAACAATTTAAAATTTCTGTTTAGTTACTACATGTACGAAAACAAGAGAACAACATTTCATGATTGATATTTCTAATGATTCTTGCTTTTACAAAGATGCATCAGCAAACAAGCTTATTTCAATCAAAAATAAAAATCATATATTGAGTAAAAAAAGAAACAGGAGTTGTGATGACTTTGTGATTAATTCTTGTTTGCTGATATTATATTGTAGATGCCATACTTCTTCCATTCATTCATATAGTATAAATAATTGAATAATTTAAATTATTTTATAATAATGGAAATGCCTGTGGCATCTTTTTTTCGAAGTATGGAGTTGTTTATGGGTAAAATCAATCTATTTATTTAAGTTCATTTTCTGGAAGAAATATGGCATTTATGTGTAATGTGATCTGGTATGCTATTTGTACTTATTTGCAGAATATTCTCAAAGTTAACTATTGTCTTTTTGTATGAAGAGGTATGGAGCATGCATCATTTTCAGTTTGGTGTTAAGTTAACTTGTGGATATCTCTTGTATATTGTATTTAGTTCTGTAAATTTTTAACTTTTTTCTCGATACTGGTACATATCAGCTTAAAAGGGGTATGAAGTGTTCTTTGTGAAAAAATCGACTGTCCGTCAGTGTATTTTTTTTCTTTCAAATTTTAATATGACCTGTATCATCAATGCCTTTTATTAGGCAGGATGTTTAATTTTTTATTTGAAAATGATGCATGTTCTTTAAGATTTGAATTCAAGTTTTCATCATAACTGATGTGTATTTTCATCTGTCTTTTTTATCCTTATTTCAAAGTCTTTCTCCTCGAAGGAAGTAAATGTTCGGTGAGAGTAGAAGTCTATTAATCTAAGCCAAATCTTTAAAAAGAAATATGTGCACTTAAACATGGAAATGAAATCACTAAAATGGAATGGACCTTTACCAACTGATGCTGTGGAAAAAGCAGGATAGAAGAAATAAAATAAATATCCTATTTTTTTGTCTGACTTTGTGAAAAGAAATCTTTCTTCAGGCTTGATGGATGTATGTAAACAAACTGAAGTTTTTGAAAAAAAAGTATGAAGAAAGCATTCGATTAAGAATAGTGCATACAGAGAGGCAGATGGTTTTCGGTGCTTTTCCTTGGCTTTGGTTTGTTTTTTGTGTCACTGAAAATCATATTTGAACTGTGATCTTCATTCACAGGCCTATTTGCAGATCATCTGCTTGTGGATATCGTGGGCGAGAAAAGAGTGTCATGCGTATCTCAGAGTGAGTGTGATACCACCCATAACAGCCATACACACTCAGAGTATGAGTTGAGTGACAGCGACAAAAATAACGACAGCGATTCTGATTTTGATTGGAAAGAAGAATCTGAACCAACAAAAAAGCCGACAAGTAAGTACAGCCATTGATGCAGTATTTCCAGGATCTCCTTGTATCGACTTTCTGTAGTTCAACTACTTTCTTAAACTGTTTGCTTTGGTTTGTGATAATTATTGTAATAAAGGTGATAATATCCATATTCATTCATATAAATATAAAGTAAGACTATTTTAAACTTGTCTAGTTTATGTGTCTATCTTTGGTGGAGGGTTCAGAGAAGATGTCAAAATATGTTACAGGTGTAATGTTAGGTTAGTGTTTTCATCAGTTTTCATCAGTAAAACTTTGTCTAAGTATTGCAAATCGTCTTAAATGGATTAAGTGACATTAACAGATTGTTTTATGCATTTTCCATACTGCAAATGTTAAGAATGGTGATTCTTTGTTTTGTTGTATGTAGAAAATAAATGAAGCATTTGTGATGTGATGTTTTACTAACATCATTTTGTGTAAAACCTTCACCTGCTGATTTGCATATTGTTGCTGTCACAACCTCATACCTCTCGGTAGATCAAGTATGTTGGAATCTTAACATCCTCTGTGGTTCATTGATCATCTCATCAACCTGGGGTTAGGGTTAGTGGTAGTGTCAGATTAGTGTTACATTAGTGTTGGGTATTGGTTAGTGGTAGTGTCAGGTTAAGGTTACATTAGTGTTGGGTATAGGTTAGTGGTAGTGTCAGGTTAATGTTACATTAGTGTTGGGTATAGGTTAGTGGTAGTGTCAGGTTAGTGTTACATTTGTGGTGGGTATAGGTTAGTGGTAGTGTCAGGTTAGTGTTACATTTGTGGTGGGTATAGGTTATTGGTAGTGTCAGGTTAGTGTTACATTAGTGTTGGGTATTGGTTAGTGGTAGTGTCAGGTTAGTGGTAGTGTCAGGTTAGTGTTACATTCATGTTGGGTATATGTTAGTTTTGGTTATGGCTAGGGTTAGTGTTTTATGTAATGTTCCATTAGTGTTGGGTATGGCTAGGGTTAGTGTTATGTTAATGTTCCGTTAGTGTTGGGAATAGGTTAGTGGTAGTGTTATGTTAATGTTCTGTTAGTGTTGGGAATAGGGTAGGGTCAGTGGTTGTTTCAGGTAAGTGTTATGTTAGTGTTGGGTATAGGGTAGGGTAAGTGGTAGTAGTGTCAGGTTAGTGTGATGTTAGTGATGGGTTTAGGTTAGTTGTTGAGAACAAACCTTCATACCACCAATGCAACACTTCAATTTTATAAATGCAATAGCATGACATAAATAACATGTGTCTGCAAGGTTTCAGTAAAAATTGTTGGACATTGCTTATGATCATTTTCATTGTTTACTTGAACAATGATATTCTGATTTGACATACATAACCCCCAACGCGGATGAGGTTTGAGGTTGTGACTACAGGCAGCTGTGTGTATGTCTCCTGTGTGCCTGGTTTTCTAGAAATGAGTTGGTTTTAGTTAGACTCAGCACATCTCCACTTGCATCCCCCCCTGTTAAGCAGACAACTCATGCTTTACTGAGTGAGTATTGTTTTATGCTGCTTTTAGCAATATTCCAGCAATATCACAGCCCCAGACACCAGAAATGGGCTACACACATTGTACCCAACTCATGCTTTAAACAGGAATATGCTTGCAAGTTATTGTAGCGGTATTAAATATATTTAGTGAATGAAAGATTCATCTTTTTTATCCTGTTTTTTTCTATCATTATAAATAATGAAAAATAAAAATATTTAGGAAAGCAATAAAATAATATATTGTGTGAGGCAAAATTATTTTTTCATATTTTCTTTAGTCATTTTTTTTCCTTTTGTTGTTATTAGTCACCGATTCCTTTGTACGTTATATCTTTATATTCTCATTTCCAAGGAAATTTCTGCAAATGCTGATTTCAAGTTTGTATTTAAAGTTTCTTTAGTTCATGTTAAATAAACTGGGTACACATAGTCTAAACATGACACTAAATATACATTAAAAAATATCACCTTCAAAATATGTTCATTTTATGGATTTTATGTTTTTCCAATCAGTTTCACTTATCACCATGGCCCCCAGTGATAAGGCACTTATAACCCAATGTCAATGTTCCGTTTCAATTTATTTCCTATAGATAAGAGGAAATGCAACCTATCTTGCATTGCACGTGAGTTTGTCCATCTCTTTTATCCACTCTCCAGGCCTTTATGCAATAGTTGTCATTGGAACACACAAATGCTTTCTGTGAACAAAAGGTCTCATGTACCCACCAGATATGAAAGCTGTAGCAATTTGACACCAGCCAATCAAAATAAAAAAGGAAAACATTTTTGTGACAACTGACTCAAATGACAAATCTAGGAAGATCACACATATGCAGCATGATACTAGAATAATGAATGGCTAGATGGTATATATGGATATATGTAACAATATTGCTTTGGTTGCCTTGAAATGCTTTTCATCACTATCTGTGGTTTTGTACAGGCTCATATTAACATGTCCTAGAGAAGCATGTGTCATATTGAAAATTAACTTTCAAGTCTTCTGCAGAAACTCACAAGCAAGCTTCTTATAGTCACGATGCCAGGACAGCAAACATTTATTATATGTTTTATATGAATTACAGAAATATATATCTATATATTTTAAAAATGAAACCAATATTTTATGTAATAATGGTTCCTTCTTTGAATCACATAGTTATATGTACTGCAGTGTTGGTGTGTGTCAGACTGGACTGTACATTCAAACAGCACAATCCCACATTTCATATGTGTTCAAAGTGTCTTGGTGAAGTGGGCAGACTTGACAAGGCTCTTGTTGAAATTTAGGAACTTACCAATTTGCTAGGCGTGTGATATGATTGATTTAGCCTAAATCTCCAGTACTACTCCACTCAGACTGAAGTAAAGGCCTGGACTGCCCTGTATGTGTTGAGAGTATGGTCGGTGTACAGTGACATGGTGCTGGTGCAGTTTTCAACTTCGTGATAATTGTGATGACTCAAGTCAATATACTTTTTGTCCCCATTGCCTCCCCTAACCCTCCAGTCTCATTGCCTTTTTAACCCAAACATTACCAGCCTGCTGTATTTTTCGTATATAGTTAAGGCAAGCTTTGTACTCAATACCTCATGCTCCCACAAAAACCTCCCCTTCCAAATTCTAGATCAGTATCTTGTACTCCTCCCCCACAAGTATACTAGCTTCTCAGTATGTCCCTCTGCCCAATCCTAGATCAGTATCTTGTACTCCACCCCCACAATTATACTAGCTTCTCAGTATGTCCCTCTGCCCAATCCTAGATCAGTATCTTGTACTCCACCCCCACAAGTATACTAGCTTCTCAGTATGTCCCTCTTCCCAATCCTAGATCAGTATCTTGTACTCCACCCCCACAAGTATACTAGCTTCTCAGTATGTCCCTCTTCCCAATCCTAGATCAGTATCTTGTACTCCACCCCCACAAGTATACTAGCTTCTCAGTATGTCCCTCTGCCCAATCCTAGATCAGTATCTTGTACTCCACCCCCACAAGTATACTAGCTTCTCAGTATGTCCCTCTGCCCAATCCTAGATCAGTATCTTGTACTCCACCCCCACAAGTATACTAGCTTCTCAGTATGTCCCTCTTCCAAATCCTTGATGTCAGTATCTTGTATTCCACCCCCACAAGTATACTAGCTTCTCAGTATGTCCCTCTTCCCGATCCTAGATCAGTATCTTGTACTCCACCCCCACAAGTATACTAGCTTCTCAGTGAGTATGCCCCTCTTCCCAATCCTAGATCAGTATCTTGTACTCCACCCCAATAAGTATACTAGCTTCTCAGTATGTCCCTCTTCCCAATCCTAGAGATCAGTATCTTATATTCCACCTCTGCAACATGATAGCTTCTCCAGCAGAATCTCCTCTACCCAATCCCACCTCAGGATCTTGTATCCAAGCCTCAGGTCCATTGCTGTAGCCACTCAATGTTCCAAACACTTCCAAAAAATTCCCAACTCTGGCTATGCAAATGTCCAACCAAAGCCTATGTAGACAGATCTCTTGTTGTTACCTTGTATTGTACATAGATAGTTTAGGTAGCATAGTATGATATATCTGTAAGGTTTATTAATATGTTACCTGTTGATTTTGACTGCAGTTACATTATGTAGAACATGTTTGTTCTAGTCAAGTGACCGGGGAACCATAGGTGCAATCACATGGTGGTTTTTTATATGAAACATGCATGTTTTGTTGTACAGTTGCATCAAGTAAATTTGATATTCACTTTATAATTATTTACAAATGAACAGCTTACAGAAGTCATAGCAAGAGTCATTGCAGTAGTCTGCATATGTTTATCAGGAGTTTCGCCCGAATTAATGACACATACATGTGAAGAAATTTTGTGAATAATATGGTGAACTTCGTCAAATATGGCTGTCTCTTTTAAAGGGAAAGAACTCATGATCACCTTTGTATCAGTGATCTCCCATTGATTAGTGTTTCATGTTGGTTTAGTCACATTCACCCCTTTGTAATGATAATAATATTGAATAGCTATCTTAATATAATGCCACATTTCGGAAATCCTTTTTTTTTCTGAAATTTCTGAAGTAAGTGCAGGCATTAATAATCTCATCTCATTCTATGAGGTCATACATTCATCCAATATATATATTTTGTAAATGAATTAATTGTTAATCTTTGTTAAATTATAGCTTCATAATCCGATAATCCTTTGTTTCAGATTGTATTAACAAATTCACCAGTTTCATGGTGAAGATAGTGGAAAGCAAATTCTTCCAGCGCGGCATCCTTGGGGCGATCTTGCTCAACACCCTCAGCATGGGAGTGGAGTATCACAAGCAGGTGTGTGTGTGTGTGTGTGTGTGTGTGGTGTGTGGTGTGTGGTGTGTGGTGTGGTGTGGTGTGGTGTGGTGTGGTGTGGTGTGGTGTGTGTGTGTGTGTGTGTGTGTGTGTGTGTGTGTGTGTGTGTGTGTGTGTGTGTGTGTGTGTGTGTGTGTGTGAGTGAGAGTGAATAGATCAGTGAGTGTGTATGTGAGTGGATAGGTAAGTGAGTGTGTATGTGAATGAATAGGTAAGTGAGTGTGTGTGTGAGTGAATAGGTAAGTGAGTGTGTATGTGAGTGGATAGGTAAGTGAGTGTGTATGTGAGTGGATAGGTAAGTGAGTGTGTATGTGAGTGAATAGATCAGTGAGTGTGTATGTGAATGAATAGGTAAGTGAGTGTGTGTGTGAGTGAATAGATCAGTGAGTGTGTATGTGAATGAATAGGTAAGTGAGTGTGTGTGTGAGTGAATAGATCAGTGAGTGTGTATGTGAGTGGATAGGTAAGTGAGTGAGCGTGTGAGGGAATAGATCAGTGTGCGTGTATGAGAGTGAATGAATCCGTGTGTATGTGAGTGGATAGGTAAGTGAGTGTGTGTGTGTGTGAGGGAATAGATAAGTGTGCGTGTATGAGAGTGAATAAATCTGTGTGTATGTTAGTGGATAGGTAAGTGAGTGTGTGTGTGTGTGAGGGAATAGATCAGTGAGTGTGTATTTGAGTTATTAGGTCATGCAAGAGGAAGGTATTGTTCATATTCTTCAATACATTACTTTCAAGTTTTACATGTTTCTTTTGAGGTTTTTCTACAATGCTTCAGGCTTGAAAAGCAGCATTTAATTCATGTGAAAGTTTACATAGACAATGAAACACAGCAACCAACTGTAGAAGGAAGGGATCTCAGTATAAGTATAACCAGTATATATCTCAAAAAAACTTATGCTAGTATAAAAAAGAAATGGGTGGTCCTTAACTTCTTTTGAGTCGTATATACTTGGACAGTAGGTAATGGGGTCAATTGACACATTCCCATTTCTATATTCCAATGTCACCAGACAGTTAACGATGACAGTATTTCTGTTTTCCAGCCTGATGAGCTAACACTGATACTCGAGTACAGCAACGTCGCATTCAGCGTCCTCTTTGGTGCCGAGATGCTCTCCAAGCTGTTGGCCTATGGCCTGTATGGCTACATCAGCGACGGCTTCAACGTCTTCGACGGCTTCATAGTCATACTCAGGTAAGCTGCCAGAAGTTTCATTTGAGATCTGTCAAGTTTCCTTTTTAATAATTGGGGCAGTGATATAATCCAGTTGTTAAGACGTCCATTTGTTTGCCGAAACACTTATGACAGTGTATGAAGTGGGGTTAATAACAATCCCATCAAAGTAAAACAATGTCTTGTCTTTTGCAGTATCGTGGAACTTGCCCAGGGTGGTGCCAGTGGACTGTCTGTTCTTCGTACATTCCGTTTGTTACGTATCCTCAAGCTAGTGCGCTTCTTGCCGGCACTCCGCCGCCAGTTGGTGGTCATGCTACGTACTATGGACAATGTGGCCACTTTCTTCGCTCTTCTTCTTCTCTTTATGTTCATATTCAGGTATTTAATCCCTTTACATTCATTTTCTGAAAATGCTATAAAGAAAATTTTAAGAAGTAATGTTGAAATTTTATGACAAATTATGTAACATTTTTATATATATTTATACAGAAAAAAAATTACTTGACAGGATTGTACATTATTTCTAGATTCTGAATTTTATGCTCTGTAACATGTTATAAAAAGTGTAATTTATTTAATCTGTTGATCATGTCATACTCATATCTATGCCTTTTTAACAAGGATTTTTCATAAATTATTTCTTTTTTTATTTTTCTGCTCCTGAAAAATTTACGACTTTAGCATCTTGGGAATGAACTTGTTTGGCTGTAAGTTCTGTACTGAAAAACACGGCAGGCGAAAATGTGATCGCCGGAATTTTGATTCCCTTCTCTGGGCAATTATTACTGTCTTTCAGGTATGGTGAGACATGTTAGCATGCCCAAATTATCTCCCAACTAACCCTTGAACCCTGTTCCGTTAGCCCAGTTTTATTCCTCAATTCCTAGAGAGTACCTAGCTATTCTGTTCTGCCATTGGCAGCTTTACTAAAATGGCAGTAGTGTAGTCAAACTTTCAACTCTTTTATTGCAGAGGTAGTTTGTAGGCTTAACCAGCATGAAGCTGAAATGATCCTCGTCAATATGGTTTCATAAGATTTTGAGGAATGGTATTTTAAGTTCTTAGTGTCTTAGCTGTGCCTGATTTTATGTGGCGATTTGTGCAAAATGTTCCACTATGCTGCAGTAATTTGATCTGTAGTTGAGTTGTATGAAGTAACTTTTGTTTTCTCAATTTTATGCAAATAATGCTCACTGCATGATATATCCGATGTACTCTAGCTTGTTATATATTTAATACATAAATGCATTTCATTTGCGTTTTTCATCATAACCAATCAAATGCTTGTTTGCCTGTTTTAGTTCGTATCTATTTTAACTTTTAGTATTAATACTGTAAACGCCTCACATATAGAGCATGCATATCATATAACTATAATATGTGTTGTTAATGTTTGTACACACAAGTGAAAAAAAATGACACAAGTGTTTTTGAGAAAAAGAATTGTTGAAAATTTGGCCTTGTAGATTTTTGTGATGTGATTGTATATTGGACTTAACTTTAGCATGTATGACAAGCTGCTGGTACTAATCCTGGCTTAAATGGTAAAATGTCATTCCTCAAGTCTGTGAAACCATATATTAGTGTGTGTACATAGGGCTAGAACTAGGACAGTGCATGATTGATTGTAATACATGTGAAATGTACGTCCTTGTCCCTAAACTGACGTTTTGTCCAATTTGCGTCCAAGTATTTGTCAGCGAGTGAATGAACTATCGCCGAGTCATGTGATCATCCCCGCTGTTGAAAATGTCACCCTTACAACTCACGTCAAACTACACCATTTCTCGTCCAGTCCCAGGTGTGATCCCAAGATGCTTATTTCGAAATTTGTTTTATTAACACATCGGAGTCTGTCATGAGATTTATTCGGAATATGAAGCTACTGACAGTCTTAAGTTTGATATCTGTCTATATTTGTCACGTGACAAAAAAAACATGTGAACATTTCAAGTCACTATGACAATATGACAGAAATTGTTATAACTGTCATTTTCATATAGACTTCGCCAAACTGTTAGTGTTTTTTCAACAGAAAAATTACCAAAATTCAAAAGCCACAAAAGTAAAACCTTCAAGCATTTGACCATTTCATGTCCATTTCAAATTTCTTGAAATTGACGTCTTACATCCCAGAAAGTCCCTATCAGTGTGGTGTCGTCTCTGTGACAATGACGACATATTTAGCCCTGTGAAACCTCTCCATGGTGTGTGTTTAATTCCCGTTTCTCCCCGTTACCGCATGCAGTATCCTAGGAATGAATCTGTTTGGTGGTAAATTTTGTGAGCGTGAGGACGGATCTTCCTGCACATGTGCAGATCTACGCAGCAATAACGTAACTTGCTTTTGTGATCGGGTCAACTTTGACTCAACTCTGTGGTCACTTGTCACTGTGTTTCAGGTAGAGTATTTTTCCAAATTAACAACTATCAATTACATTATTAATGACTTATTGCCATCAAATATGATATAAATTGTGGTAAATTTTAACTATCTTCAGTAGATGGCAAATAAATCATGATCTGGTTTTCTTTTAATGTTTAAAGTTCACTATTATAACAAATTTTCAATTAAGAATCTATTAATCAAAGAAATATTATTCATCTGTGGAAAATGTATTATAACTATGTTTTATTATAAGTTGTATATTTCATGATGTGTGTAACAAATAATATGTGACTATGAATACAGGAATTATGAAACGGTTAAGTTACAGATGTTAGTGTTAGAGTATGTGAAGTCCTCGAAGTCCTCGTTACTGCATATCTGTAACCACAAACTGCATGGTGTTGAGGCCTCTGTAACAAAACGTACTGAACATGTGTGTTTGCTATGTAGTTTCAAACTGTTCACACACCCCTGTTAACTCATACAGTGTTTTGTTATGGAAGTAACTGTTAATATATTAATACCTGATACTAATCAGATTTCTAATAATTTGTAATTGTATTTTGCAAAAATTTAAAATATATCTGTTAAGTAATATGTAAAACTTTATGTGGAAATTTGCAAAAGAATTTGGGTTACATTTTAGTTACATTGTAAGTAATAGTAAAACAGTATATAGTGATATGTGAGTTACATTGTTAGGAAGGGTAAAAGTTACACTGACATTTTAATTATTGTAAGTGATAGTAATGTAGTATAGTGTGACATTTTAGCTACATGTATGTAAGGATACAGAAGTATACAGAAACGTAATGATTGATCTATTTCAATTTTGAACCCTTACCTTTGGTATGCCTTGTTGACATTGTTGTACATTTCAGGTGTTGACACAGGAAGACTGGAACACTGTGTTATATAACGGCATGGCCAAAACATCGCCATGGGCCTCACTATACTTCATTGCATTAATGACATTCGGAAACTATGTACTTTTCAATCTTCTTGTTGCCATCTTGGTGGAGGGATTTTCAACAGAGGTGAGATAATAGAGACGACCAAACCATAATGAGGGCAAAGTGCTTCTTGAACACAGCCCTTACTCTGAATAAATAATAAGCGATTGACTACATATTCTTTGACTATGTCACTACCTACTTTAGGATAATCGATTGACAGCATTTTATTTCTGCTTTGAGTGAGTGAGTTAAAATTTAGCATCACATCGGCTTTATTTCAGCCATATAGCGACTTCTGCTTTGAAATGACAATCGGTACTTCATCCTCGATTGTCCAGTGTATAATATCTCCATTCTATTTTGATGGCCACCCTAGTGGTCTAGTGTATAGAACTTCTCCCAGGAGAGTGGAAGAACGGGTATTCAATTCCTAGCCACGTCATACCAAATGATGTTAAAAGTTTATACTTGTTGTTAGGGGTGACTATTGGTCTGGAAATCACCAATGCAATAACTATTGATATTGAAAGAAATTATTGCAATAACTATTGATATTGCAAGCAACTATTGCAATAAATATCGATAGTTTTCAGTGTATCATTATAGATGGATTTAGAGTTGAATTAAACCTTGGAAGTGAAGTTTCCTTTGAAGTAACCAAAACAACAAATAAAAAGTAAAGTTTGAGATATGACTGATTTGTTTTCTTTACCCTACTAATTTAAGAAAAAGAAACTTCCACATTACCATGTGTAAATTACTACCACTCATGATCAAAAAAAAGAAAAACAAATTTGAACAGCATTGCATGTATTTTGTTGATATGGTAAATACAATCGAAACTGTTGATATTCCTAACTGAAATCGGTACTATTGATCGGAAACTCATTTAACAATCGATTTATTGACTTTAAGTGCTTACCAATAGCAATATATCGAGATTTTGATTTATTGTGACACCCCTACTTGTTGTTTGCCTGCCTGGTGCCTGGCACAAGATGATGAAACAAAGACCGGTCAGCTTGGAGTCAGTATACTGTGGCTGGTATCACATTTGGCTAGCACTACAAAAGCAACATTAGTCCTGGCTAGGACCAGCTCATGCTACATCGCTATTTAAGTGGAATAATCTTGGAACATGACATTTAACCACATTTCACATCACCTCTATTTTTATTTTATAAACCTCCGGTGACGTCATCCTATTGTTCTCAAGTCGGGTTAAATCTCATAAACAGGGACGTTGTAATGTCCCTGGGATTTTATAGGATATTCAAGTCATATTTGCTATATCATGTGTTATAATATCCCAGAGATTTTATATAATATCCTGGGTATTTTATTAATATAACTTCCGTTCAGATTGTAACATGTAATGAAATGTAAAATCAAATGACAAATATTTTCTTTATATTCCCGAGGATCGAACGTGCAACCTTCGTATCTGTAGCCCAGTGAGTGTAGCACTAGGTTAGAGAGGCGTTGATAAGTCGCACTGCTTTTTAGAATGTCCTTTTCAAGATCCGTATGCCAGCAACAGATATTTTACGCCCATTTCCTAATGTTCATGGAAAGTATGTTCGAAACATAAAAATGTTGATAAATGTTGTTTAAAGGTTTCTTTTTTCGGTTTATAAGTAAGATAAAACACTTCCCCTCGGGTTGTTATGATATTTAAAACCCTTTCCCTCGGAAAATCCCCCGGGATGCGGGTTTTAAATATCATAACAACCCTCGGACGTGTTTTATCCTATACAAAATACTCTGGGCAAATTCATCACCATGGCTTCATTGTGGAAGTGATGTCACCACCTCTATCACTCCATCTCTAACTTAGCACAATTCAAATTGGACTCAAAGCTATGGGTATGGCATGGGTATTTGTGATTATAATTTGGAGGTGTGATACACTGGATAATCGAGGATGTCGATACTTTGGACAAACAGGTATCCCACTTTTCCAAGGAAGACAGTAGCTTCCATACTTGCATGCGCTTTTTCAACAACCAAGTTTCAAATTCACTATTGAATAGGCCTCTGATACCCCATAATCAGCATAAGGGCTGCCTAAAATGGGTATTGGGTGGTACAATGTCACCTGGATGATCATGCTCTCGACCACTTGTTGGTTTTGTCAGAACTCTTATTTACTGGCTGCCATTTTGTTGTTCAGGACGATGAGAAAAAGAAGGAGAAAGTGAAGGAAATGGAGGAACAAGAACTGGAGGAGAAGGAGAAGCAAAGATTGGCAGAAAATAACAACATTGACGATGCTCAAAAGGAAAAAGAAAAACTCAACAGTAGTGAGGTTGATGTCAAGAATAATAAAGAGAAAGGTAAATATGTAAACTTATCCTAATTCACACTATTCATTTCTCATTCTTCCTTTGATTCGGTGGCTCGGGTGGCCCAGTCGTCTGAGGCGCCGCAATTCGCTGTGCAGATTTGCATCTCTTGGGCACACCACAAACCTATGATTGTGGGTTCGAATCCGGGTTATGTTTCTAGGTTTGTCAGCACCATACCCGTGCTCGTGGGTTTCACCAAAGTGATAAACATCAGACCTGCATCATTTCGGACTTTCTCTAAACACACTGGACATGTGATTTCCCCAGCCAACTCATTCTCTTTCTGATCACAACAGTGTGGTGACATGCTCTCGCAAGACAGTCCTTTTTGGCTTTTCTCTTTTCCACTTTTCCCTGTTTGAAGACTTCAAGACTTCTTCCCTCGGGTTCGTTTTTCAATGACGTCATATGTTTAACGACGTTTGTTTTGAGAGGGAAGTGTCTGGTAATTTGTTCCCTATAGATGTAACTGGGCTACGCAGATAAACGCAGTGGTTGAAAGATAGCATCCAAGCACAGGAGAGATATGACAATCGGTATTAGGGAAATGGGTACAGATAATCAACAAGAGGATCGTGAGAATATGCGGTAAATACCAAGACTTAACCCACCTGTTCGCAAAATGGACTTATCCAAGTCGGATTCTTTTCAGGGTGTCATCATTATTAAAATTTGGGTAAATATTTTTAAAGCTTGTACATTTTATCAACATCCTTAAAGAAGCTGTACATAATGTTGATATCTCAGATAAGAAATAGACGACTCGTGGTCGTTGTTTATCATACAATAAAACACTGCAGGGAGAATAAACCACTCGGGGCTGCACCCCTCATGTGAACCCCTCATTGTTTATTCTCCCTGCAGTGTTTTATTGTATGATAAACAACTCCCATTCGTCGCTTAGTTCTTAAAGTCACAAGTGAATATATTTGTTAATCCACTTTCAGAATAGAAGGTAAATGGGTTTTGGAGGAATATTATATTTGGAAATACTGATATACATTTTAATGCTGATTGCAATATCTTTATTGATTTTTATTTGATTAAGTTATCAGTTTATGGAACATCCGTTGTTTGATGACATAAGTGTTGTATTGCAATGAAATGTTTAATTAGGAAGGAACACAGTTACTTTATTTCTTTTGATCTTGTTCTACAGTTGCATGTGATCTGTAAGATATTTCTCCATAAAAACGACCGCCTCCATGGTCTAGTGGTAGAGCGTCTACCCACAGAGAGCGGAAGGTTCGGGGTTCGGTCATACCAAAAGATGTTAAAAGATGGTACTTGTTGTTACCCTGTCTGGTGCTTGACATTAAGGGGCTAAAAACAAGGACTGGTCAGCTGGAGTCAGTGTACTGTGTCTGAGTGGGGTATTCATGTTAAACTGCGGCATGTTATCTCAGTGAGCTAGCACTGTAAATCAGCATCACTCCATACTAGTACCACACACACATGCATGCACGTCGCTATATAAGTGTAATAATCTTGGACGTGACGTTAAACCCCATTTCACCTCTCCTCTCCATAAAAATATATGTTTGAATTTGAATAGTATTAAACAAGATGAAATATTGTATTTTAAGTAAAGACACGAATCCTTGTTTTTTTCAGAGAAGAAGATGCTTGCCCTTCCCCCTCCAGTCGCAGTCACCAAGGAGGACAACACAGCGCAGGTTTTGACGGCGCAGCCGCAACAACCAGATGGCCCACTGAATCCACCAATCATAACACACACCGCAGCCACGCCCATGGCCACGCCTCAGGGATCACCCAATGAGAGTGCTCTTAAAGATATCAACAACAAGCTTGCTGTATCCATGGGCCGTAGTATTCAACGTAGCACGCTTTCAGTAGAATCAGAGCGAACATCGGTGAGAAGCTGGTTGTTGATAGTATTGGATTTTTTCTTACATTGTGGTACTTCTACATCACTGCATTTAGCACCCTGCTCCAATACACACCCCTGGCCAACTTCAAAATCTTCATGGGGGCACGGGTGGCCCAGTCGTCTTAGGCGCCGCGATTTGCTGTGCAGAGTTGCGTCCCTTGGGCACGCCAGAAACCTATGATTGTGGGTTAGAATCCCGGTTCGCCCCAATTATGTTTCTAGGTTTGTCAGCACCATACCCGTGCCACAATAAGATTCGAATTACGCCAACAATACTGTTTAGATGACGGAAACTATACACTATTGTCTCATGATGTGATATGACCCTAGGGCACATATGATTTTTATGAATCTGGATATGTTTGCGCTCGTAGGTATTAAATAAATATGTATTTCCTCAGTTCTGCAGCTGATAGGCCAGGAAATTTTGAGGTGAAGATGTGTTTTAAAGAATTCAGAAATCCAGAACACAACATCGCAATTGTGATTTATTTATCCATAAGAGCTACATTTGAAATATTAACCATTGTGATGTAGATATACCATGATGCCTCTCTTCCACAGACAAGCCTCAGTTTCCGAGGTTCTCCCCGACCCTCCCCCAAACTTCGCCGGACCAGTAGCCGTGGAAGTCAGCGCAGCAGCAGTTGGCGCCTAAAACATCGGCGCCGTGATGCTGAGAAGACCAGTCTTGTTGTAGACAGCCAGTCCGACAGTGGCGACGATCTCGACGACGATGTGTTTACACTGAATCAGTCTCAGTCCCCCACCTACACACCAGGAACCCCCCGCACCCCCAACAACCATGGGTAAATGTCACTTTCCAACTGTACACACTTGAAATTAGTCCGCATCAACGTAACGTCCCTGCTTGTTCGCCAAACCTTGTTTGAATTGAGAACATTTTTAGAGAGAGTATACATAATAATATTAACTACAATCACAAATCCCTGGCAATCCTTTTGGGTTTGCAGGGAAACGTGGTTCCCAGGGTACCTCATGCTTGCCATTAGAACTGACCCCGTGAGGTCCTGGGTTAGAATTGGTTTTCAGCAACCCGTGCTTGTCATAAGTGCTGTGGGCGGTCGGGTAGCCTAGTGGTTAAAGTGTTCGCTCGTCACGTCAAAGACCCGGGTTCAATTCCCGACATGGGTACAATGTGTGAAGCCCATTTCTGGTGTCCCCCGCCGTGATATTGCTGGAATAGTGCTAAAAGAGGCGTAAAACCATACTCACCCATAAGTGCTGTTGTAAAGCTGGAATATTGCTGAGTGCGGCATTGAAATGAGGATTTGGTGGTCAGACAGGTTGACCTGGCTAATTATGTGTCACCTGCCCCTGTGGTATGGGTCATTATTCATACTTCTAGTCACTGGTTTGTCTGGTCCAGCCTCAAATATTTACAGAGTGCCGAGTGACTGTGGCGTTCACACACACACATCACATATAGAAAAAACTCAAATGTTTTTAAGGAAGATAATGTTGTGAACCCTAAATATCCTTCGTTGGCAATACTGAATTATATGCCAGTCCTCATTTTTATGAAGAATTCTATCAAGTTACTGATTAGATTTTCATGCTAAAGGTCTTATTTTTCATGGGGTAGAACAATTTCATTCACACTTATAAAAACAACCCCTTTTGAAATGTTGATAATAATCTATTATTTACATTAACAATCATCAGGAAGAATGTACTTTGATACGAATAAATGTGAAAAAGGTTATATCAGAAATGAAATTATAGAAATTCTAAATCTGATGTATCTATTGTTAGAGTGTGATTATTATTATGTATATAAGTGACTGATGATGACTAAGCAAATATCTGTATCAATATTCATCCTCATCAGTAGCCACCTCACTCTCGTCATCACTGTAGAGAATGTATATGTCAATCAATGCCTTGTCTCTTGCAAACTGTCATATGTTCATTTCAGCTACTCTGTCACATATTTCTTCAGGTATTGAATCTGCATGCATCTGTTGTTCAGTTGGTAGCATGACCCACCCATAGTGACACATTCCCAGTTTTGTTCATCAGTTGTAGTGTGGAAGGTTTCATTATCAGGTAGCAGTAGAACATTTCAAGTAGACCCGTGAAGATCCGGGGTAGAATAGGTCTTCAGCAACCCATGCTTGACATAAAAGGCGACTGTGCTTGTCGTCAGAGGCGACTATCAGGTGGTTAGGCTCACTGACTTGGTTGATGCATGTCATTTTATCCAAATTGCATGGATCGATGCTCATGTCAATCTCAGGATTGCCTGGTCCAGACTTGATTATTTACAGACCGCCGTCATATAGCTGGAATATTGCTGGGTACGGCATTCAACGACAAACAAACAAACATTTTAAATAATATACAATGATTTTTATATGAAGTTTATGATATATCAGATTCCATTCTCCAAGTGAATGCTGATGTCACTACATTATTATCCCAGTCTTTGGGTCAATCTCAAAAATAAATTCCCAACTCCCTGGGGAGTATACAAACCAAGCTGTCATATTACAAGGTACCCTTTCACTACTGTATGAACAGAGGCATATTGGGAACTAAGTTTAAGTAACCTGTGTTTCAGTGATGGGCAAATGAGTAAAGTAATAATTGGATATTTTAAGAAATATGAGAAAATAGTTATGTTTAGTGTGTGTGTGTTGTATTTGTCTAGTGATATTATTTTATGTCCAAGTGCTATTGTTGTCCTGGCTTGTGTTGTAGATAATCATAATTCTGTGGTGGATTGTCTTGTGTGACCCTCCCTCCCCCTCTGTTTAAATCCTCCAAATGGCATGAATTTGTAGAAACAAAATCTGATTAGTTCCACTACTTATTCAGCCTGACTGCCTAGTGTCTTTATTCTGAAATGGAAGCAATAAAAGAATTTCTTCAAAGCATGAAAACATTAATATCAGATTTGCATGTAACCATACTAATTATTACGTCTGCTAACATCCTCATATTGTTTCATATTGAAGCTAATCAATCATATTTCCATCTTTATAATCATAGGTATTCAGGACAAATTTGACCCATGTGTATTGGATGGGCACAATGGTGGTTAAGTGTCACTAGATGACACTAGATGTGTGTCCTGATGTTTTTGTAAGATGGTTTGAAACAGATTGGATTCTAACAGATAGCATATATGAAGCTGAAATATTGCAGAATATATATAGCTGAAATAGTGCTGATAATTAACTTAACGCAGATACAGTCTTAGCTGAAAGTAAAAAGGCCTTTAATGTGGCAAATCAGCAAGATAGGCTGTCATGTTGCAGAAAACATCTAAGAAGTTCTTAAGCTGGTAAGAAACATAGTTATACCAATAGTAATAGATTGTCGACATCTTTTGTGGTCTTTTTCATTTTGGGGTTTTTGGTTGATGACAGTATGACATCATTGTTTTCAGTGATTGTAATGGCCACCCACCCCTCAACAACCAAAGAACACTTAGTCCCCAGAATTCAATCAAGGGTCACAAGGCGCTAACGCCCAAGAACTCCATCAAGAGCAACCATAGCTGGAGTCGCAACAACTCCGTCACTAGCAGTCGCAGTATTTGCAACTCCTTTGAGCTCAGTCGGCAGAACTCGTTCACAAGTCACCGAACTCTCAACTCCATGGGGAGTGGAGCATCCAAGGAGGAGTATAAGCCTAACAACCTGAGTGATCCCCCTGAGGTCAAGGTCAGCAGTGATAAGGAAGACTTTGAAGGAGAGGAGGATCCAGATGCCATAGATGAGACAGTAAGTATACTCCCCACACTGCCTCCCTCTACTGGGAGCTGGGTTCGAATCCTGGTCACCCCGATTATGTTTCTAGGTTTGTCAGCACCATACCCGTGCTCGTGGGTTTCGCCGAAGTGGTAAATGTCTGAGACCTGCATCACTTCAGGCTTTCCTCCCACATTAAGCTGACACGCCGCGATATAACTGGAATACTGTTAAAAGCTGCGTTAAACCAAACTCACTCACTCACTCACTCTACTGAGAGCAGATAGCCAGTCGTCTAAGCCGACACAAATCACTGTGCAGAGTTGCATTCCTCAGCTTGCCAATAACCTATGATCATGGGTTCGAATCACAGTTAACCTGTTTCTGTTTCTTAGTTTGTAAGCACCATACAAAGTGGTAAACATCTAACACCTGTATCAGCTACGATCTCCCTATATAAAGTGAGATGCCATGATAATATCAAATAACTGAAATATTGTTCAGAGCAGCGTTCAACAATGCTCACTCACTCATCTTGTGGCGTATTGCAAGATGGCCAAGGGTCATTTGCAATTTGAGTTTACTCATCAGTCTGTTGACTATTAAGGATGTGAAAGCATTATAAATCAACACTTCAGGAATTGAAATGTTCAGTCTTTCATGTACGTAAGTCTGAAACTGTTCCTGCTTACAAGACATGTTCCATTTGTAGCCCATTTTAGTTGAAATGTTCAGTATATTTAGACATTATGTGTTTGTATTCTTCAGGACTGGAACTGTTCATGGTTACCAGAGCCGAAAGGATGTTTCAAAACTCGAAAAGAATACAGCCTCTACCTCATGTCCATGGACAACCTGTAAGTACACTCGGGTCCGTGTGGTTTATTCCACTTGCTACAGAAAACCTGGGCAGACATTTAGACGTGATGTTACATGAATTCACTGTAAACCGTGTTACGACCGATCACACTGCATATAGTGCATACAACATGATGTCTGTTTTAGGTAACAGCTTATAATCTGCTCTACAGAAATTGGATTTATACACTTTCATTGGAAGAAGTATGCAATTGGGAACAATTCTTTCTGTACTTAATAAACATATGCTGTGAAGTACTTCTTCCAAAGAAGGTTTTTGCTTCAGGTTTCCTGCTTGGCATTTTTCAAAACTTTGGAAAAAATCTAATTAATTTATTGTGGCGCATTCGTTAGAGAATAATCTACAAGCTCTGAGGAATTATGGATATATCAATCCAAAGTTAATTAAGTTCTAAACCTTGGCGAGGAACTCTCAATTTTAATTTGCAAAGGACAGGTAATTTGTAATTTCAAGTTACAAGTAGGTTATTTGTTATTTTACTCATTCTTTTTCTGAGAAAATGAGGGTTTCCTCATCTCCAGTTGAGACATCAGCTCAATCAGTGTGCAGGGAAACTTATGGTGCTCAGTGAGAATTGCCAAGAATAACACCACCTGTATCTGTGCCGCGTGGGTAATATTAGAGTCCTATGTTTCAGCTTGAGGAAAGTGTGTCACCATCTGATCTCGCGGAAGTGGTTCGACAACTCTGTGTTGTTCTTTATCGCTCTCAACTGCATTACGCTCGCCATGGAGAGACCGGACATTCCACCCGAGAGTGTGGTAAGTAGTGGTAGGGAATACACCTTATATCCAATGTCCACTCTGCTACACTCTACTATCCTTCTACCACCTCTGAGGAGATCTCATGGACCATGCAGCACGGTTGGCAAGCATAGTGGTTAAAGCATTCCCAGCAAAAGCTCTTTCCAATATGGGTACAATGTGTAAAACCCAATCTGGTGTCCCTTGCTGCTTGAATGTTACTAAAAGCAGCACTAAACTTAACTCACTCACTAACTCACTTATTGACTATGATGACCGTTATCTTGGGTCATGCAATAATCTGAATTTTGTCACACATCTTAAACCTTTAAAGTGTTGAATGTCATGTAAAAGTCCCAGGTTCGATTCCCAAATTAAGTATATGTGTGAAGTCCAACAATGCCTCCACTGGTATATATAAAGTAAGTGAAATTTAAACAAATAGGGTTTAAATACTGACTCATAAGTCCAGTCATTTTTATGTCCAGTATACAACATCCCAAATCATCAAGAGATGAAATGTGACACAAAAACATTTTTTTGAAAGTCCTGTTTCTGGATCCAGATGGCCATATAAATATGTACATAAAGGTAATGAAAGAGGTTTTGTGTAGGCCTGATCTCAGTGCCACAATGGAATGGGCTTATGTTTACAAATGTCGAACAGGGCCATTATCTTTGTAAGTAAGGTTAAGATTTATGGATGAACAACTTCTTTATTACAATTAGGAGCGACGTTTCGGTGTAGGTTCTTACACCGTTATCAAGCAAGTCTTATCCTTACTTGGACTCCTAAACTTCTAAATGCCTCTCAAAGAAGGGCAATTATCATACGGACAGACTTTTTAATTTGTGTCAATTTTTGCTGTGGTATTGAGTAAACTAAAGAATGTCACAATTCGTGGAAATATGATATGAGTGGAGGTAGAAGAAAAATAGCAGAGATAGGAAACCTGGGCTAGGCCTTTTCTTTTATAAACTATTTCACCTTTTTTCTTTTTCCTCTCGGGCGGTCAGGTAGCCTAGTGGTTTAAGTGTTCGCTTGTCACACTGAAGACCTGGGTTCGATTCCCAACATGGGTACAATGTGTGAAGCCCATTTCTGGTGTCCCCCACCATGATATTGCTGGAATATTGCTAAAAGCGGCATAAAACCATACTCACTCACTCACTCACTCACTCACTTACTCTTTTTCCTGTCAGTTTTGTTTCCTTTATTTGTCTGTTTTTTTCTGTCCCTCGTAAAATGTTCTTGTTTTGAGGGGGAGGTCGGGTAGCCTAGTGGTTCAAGCGTTTACTCGTCACGCCGAAGACCCGGGTTCGATTCCCGACATGGGTACAATGTGTGAAGCCCATTTCTGGTGTCCCCTGCCGTGATATTGCTGGAATATTGCTAAAAGCGGCGTAAAACATACTCACTCACTCACTCTTGTTTTGGTATCCAGTTAAGAGAATTTTATTAACCATACATGTACATTTGATATGAAACCCTTGAATTTTCGCATCTGGTTCTCTTCAAATGACTTCTTTTATGGGCTTGAGTTTTTATTGACTTTGCACCCTGTATTAAACTCTTTTCAGGTTTCTTATCAGGTAAACATTTGCTAGATGACAGATTTTATGAAGTGTTTGAAGTCATTTGTTTTGTTAATTTTGCAAACAGCTTGAAGATCATGCATGGTTTGCCTGGAATATTCTATAGTTTGGAAAATTGAGCAGAAAGTTGTGCTTTTGGTACCCGAAGATTATTCTTATCTGTGTATTTACTCGTAACAGCTCGCCACAAATAGCTGCAAGATTGTTGATGCGGCGTTGGGCAATAACTACTTACTCAATTACTCGGAATGGTTTTGGAGATTTAAATAGGCAGTTAATTTGTTGTTATCTCCAAACTCAAAAATATTAAATTCAAAAGATCAGCCATATGCTTTTTATGAGAGCCAATTGAAATGTTGATTCTTTGTTTACAATGAATGGAAACCAAGTAAAACTGATCATGAGGTTAGGCTCTGTGACAAATTGTGTGTTACGCAACCACATTGATCTGGAATGTTGCTCATGCTTTTCATCACTGGTTTGCCTGGTGAATATTTGATTATTTACAGGCCCCCATTATGTTACTGGAAGATTCCTGACTGCATCATTTCACAATATTTACTGATGAGATTATGTCCTCATACCTTATGAACAATGACCGTAGTTAAGACCCGTGAAGATCCGGGTTAGAATAGGTCTTCAGTAACCCATGCTTGACATAAAAGGTGACTATGCTTGTTGTAAGAGGCGAGTAATGGAATCGGGTGGTCAGGCTCGCTGACTAGGTTTGTACATGTCATCGTATTCCAATTGCATGGATAGATGCTCATGATATCAATCACTGGATTGTCTGGTCAGGACTCGGTTATTTTCAGAACACCTTCATATAGCTGGAATATTGCTGAGTGCGGTGTGAAACAACAAACCAACCAACCAACTATCCGTAGTTAAGCATGTTTACAAGTTGACATCATTGACCATTATTTCTATGTGTAAGATTTGCCATTGCTTCTGTAGACTAGCTGGGTGACCTCAGGTTACGGACGTGATGGAATGGCCACAGATTCATATACAATGAATTAATTAATAGTTCACTTGGTTTATTGTGGTTGTTCACAAATAGCTAGTGGTTTAAGCCTTGCCTCAATCCCCACCTCAAATGGAATGCCTCTCCATATGTCATGTTTTGTCTGATAAAAGTGCATCAGAGATTTCTGGAACCTTTGGGTTTGGTTCTTGCACGGACTTTTTCCATTTTACCAGTTCTGTGAAAATGTGTGCTCCTTTGGCGTGCCAATGTTCACATATTTTTAAGAATAATCTAATTTGAATGCTTTTATATTTTGTCAATATGAAATCAAAGTACCAAAGGTATTATTTATAGATATTTTTTAAATCTTGCTATGGTAACTATTTGAATAAGACTCTTGTGATGTGAAAAGAAACTCTCACCAGTGGAACATGAAATGAACATTACTCTATCATAGTGTAGTAAATAAACCTTGCCTTGTTGTATTATTCTGATATTTACTCTTATTCTAACATCCTTTAGGAATATTATGTCATGTATTAATAACTGTCTTCTTCTTTTCTTCAGGAGCGTCAGTTTCTCACAATATCCAACTATGTCTTCACTGTCATATTTGCAATTGAAATGGTGCTCAAGGTATGTTGATTTCATCGTTAATTTCATCGTTAATTTCATCGTCAATTTCGTTGTTAATTACATAGAGATTCTCACTCTTGTGTCTTACAAAATCAAATATATCAAGACGAGTTGATAAAAGTTGAATTTATCTCAGGCTTGAAAAGGATATTTTTACTTTTATCAATGAGTTTTGATATATTTAGGCTTGGCAGACATGATGATGAGATTCTGTTTATCATACAAAATCATTCTTCCAACTTTCCATTTTGTAAACAGTAAAAACCAGTTTCTTGATTGTAAATAGTACAGCTCACCAGCTTCAGTGGCAGAGAAATTAGTGATGTCTACTGATTGTGTCATCACAGTGGTCTGCAAAGCAGTGTGATGCAATTTCACTGAAGCTGTATCTCTTGGGAGACATCGCTTGATCTCAGGCAAGCGATAAGTCCTGTGAAAGCCTGTTTCCTGTGGTATCATTACTATTTGATAGTGAACATAAACACATGCTCATGATATAGTCGGAACCATACAATCGACTCTGCTTTATGCAGAGATTTCTAGTGGATATGGAAAGAGTTTTGTCGCTTATTATCATTATTACTATGATGACGATGATGATGGTTATTTTTTTAATGATAAATAGCTCAAATTTAAGATGAGCTTCTGATTGATTTAATCAATACTTCCTTAATACTACAGTACTTAAATCTAGCTATTATAAATCAAAATGAGTATTTTTCTATAAATACATTTTTACATGTTTTTTAGGTATTTGTTTATTCTTTCTATGATTAGATGCAGATGTAATAAAAGTGTTCCTATTTAGAAAGATTTATATTTTGTCAGCAACTGAATTAAACATAAATTGCATTTCAGGTTATAGCTAAGGGTTTCTTTGTGGGTAAGCATGCCTATCTGAAGAGTGGTTGGAACGTGATGGATGGATTCCTGGTGATTATCTCCCTTGTCGATATCCTCATCTCTCTCGTCGCTAACAGCAGTCCTAGAATCTTCGGCATCCTGCGAGTCTTCAGGCTGCTCCGAACTTTGAGACCACTCAGGTTAGTGTGACAAGAAGGTGGCAGTGCCAGTATCATTTAAGAAATTGAAAATATATTAATAACTTTACATTTAGATAGAATCCAATGGCCAGGTGAGAAATTAACATTTTATCCCAATCCTATCAGAGGAACTACAGAAGCATGCTGGAATGTATGGTTATACAGTTTTCCAACAACTGAAAAAATTGTCACTGTTTGAATTTATGAAAGGCAAGGCATTAGAAGTGATTAATTATTGTATTTCCATCCATTTTTCTATTCAAATATGATTTGTGGAGCCATTTATTTTATTTTGTTTTTTATTTATTTATTCATTTCAATTAACTATTTATCTCCCTCCCACCGACCCTTTCTCTTCCTCCCCCCCCCCCGAACTGAACTGAACTGAACTGAACTAAACTGACCACCAGCAAACTATGCAGGTCGGTAAAAGGTAATTAAATCAATCGTTGACAGCAAGTATCATTGCTCACAATATCAAAATATCAAACATTGGATCGTCTGGTCCAGACTCAATTATTTACAGGGCACCATCATATAGCTGGAATATTGCTGAGTTCACTGTCAAACACCAAACCTTGTCTCCTATCTTATTTTGTCGGTTATGCATCTGCATCATTTATTTTTTCTTTGAATTTTATCACTGTTTCAAGATGAAGAGGATATTAATATAATCGTTGGTTCATTTCAGAGTCATCAGCCGAGCCCCTGGCCTGAAACTAGTTGTACAGACACTACTATCATCACTTCGTCCCATCGGAAACATTGTTCTCATCTGTTGTACATTTTTCATCATCTTCGGAATTCTTGGAGTGCAAGTAAGGCATTTGACCATCAACATTGCTAAATACAAGTACATATAAATTTAACTTCATCATTAAGCTCTTGAAAAGCTGGATGATATTTGAAGAACAGCTCATAATGCTGGAATGTTTCTTCGTACATAACTGGAGGGTTTAGAACTGAGGATCACCTCAATGTACATATCAATAACCCACAGCAAATATGGTACTCAGCATTTATGAAATAGGGCAAGGATATTTATTTAAAACGTTGGCGCCAGAGAATATATAACCCTGTTAATCCAGACAATATCATTCTCAGGGTCTGGATTATCGGTGTTTCACTATGATGATGTTGTTATTTCTCTAAACATGCATTATGTCATTGAAAGGGAACTTGGAATAAGATTCCAGATCAAAAACTAAATCTGGTAGCTGTCTCGTGGGGGCTGTCATTTCGTTTCCAAGTACCTATTACATTTTTTCTTTTCAATCTTAAATCTATATTTCCATGAAAATAAGTATACATTTTTGGAAGAAAATAGTGATTAAGGAAGAGAGAAGTGTTTAGGTTTTGTTTTTTTTACAATTGTTAGCCAATCAGAGATGTAGAAGTGTGCTGTAAATCATACAGTGAACATTGGCAGACATTTCTAATGATTCGATCCATAATCTCTAGTAGTAAGATGTAGAACCATTGATAGTTATCAATCAGTGGTAGTCTTAAACGTCATGTGAAACTCTGTGTTGGTATGGCATTGTTTGACAGTTGACTGTTGTCTGTGTTTCAGCTGTTCAAGGGCACATTCTACTACTGTAAAGGCCCACCGGGGCTTGTCAAGGACATCAGGAACCGGACACAGTGTCAAAACGACACACGCTTCATCTGGATCAATCGGAAATACAACTTTGACAACCTGGGTCAGGTAAACAGACCACATCCTGGCATTGTACAAACAAGACTCCTGTATAGTCATTCTAACTTATCTACTCGTAAATTCTCAAAAACAGTGTACAAAATCTCAGATAATGGAATGACAAAAGGTAATTTCCTTGTTTAAAACAATTATTTGAGTGCAGAAAGTCATAAACGGACACTGTGAACTTTGATTGTTTTGTTAGGAGAATAGAAATGTGGGTTAAACATGACCGGCAATCTCTGCAATTGAACTACTTTTGATGATTCAAACAGGCATAATGGGATTCAGAGTACATATTATTCGCATCCATTCTTGATTTGTATGTATATAGGACACAATATTATGTGTTGGGTAAAACCCTATCAGGGTGAAAGAGTTCACCCGCCATTTTGTTGCTGCCCAGTGTGCTCTATAGGTAGACATTGTAAGCAAGACTGGTTGTTGCAATCCACCCTTCACTTTGGTACTGACACAGTAGTCATCAATCTCATTAAAATCAGATCTAAGTTCTCGCTACAAAGATCTGAGGACATCTCATTACGGGTCACGTCAGAACGACCTTTCGCAAACTTTGACCGACGGTGTCACTGAAATGACTAACAAGAAGTCGACATCAGCCAATTAGAAAGCAGCTTTCTAGAGCTTTACGGCACTCGTTTCAACCCGGCGACTTCCATTTCAGACTATGCTTGAAAAATATGTTGACACAGTTCTCGATTAAAATTTTGAAAACTGAACAAACAAACATTCCGGAATGTCTAATATATGGTTGAGATTGTATGGCAGTGCTTCCCGCGTACTGTGCAACGCCTCCCCCGTTCAAATGTTTATCCCACGGAAACGAGAGATAGACGATAATTTTGACGGAATCAGTTGTAACTGTCATTCGGAATACCCCGTGTTAACGTTTTCGAGGTTGCATGACTAGAAAACACATTCCAAATGTCACTTTCATGATCTGGTAAGCGACGCTTTCATGGTCGAATGAAAGGTCGTTCTGACATGACCCGTAATGGGATGTCCTCAGATCTTTGTTTAACGATAGCAAGAACTAAGATCTGATTTTAATGAGATTGAGTAGTCATTGTCATGGTGCCCTTCTGGAAAAGGGTAAAGCAATATTGGTAGATGTCGACCGTTTTGTTCAACCCTATGTCTCTCACTCATTGCATTACCATCATTGCAGGCATTAATGGCCCTGTTTGTTCTGGCATCGAAAGATGGCTGGGTTAGTATCATGCATACAGGACTGGATGCTGTTGGGATAGATGAACAAGTAAGTAAACAAAAGATAAATATTTTGTTAACATTTCTAAAGACAAATTGATTTGTAGAATATCATAAATATTTTGCAAGCTAAAAACTGTTCAGGGCCCATTTTAACAAAGCAATCATAGCGATAGATGACTTTGTGAAACATGACCATTCTACAGTTGTATTTCAATAATATGTGGCATATATACCATTCTGAACAACAGTTTTATCTATACAAAAAGTGACATGACGAGTTGTATCTAATGTTGTATGTACGTCACAGTAGGGAGCAAATTCAATTAACCTAATTTTGCATTTTATTCTCTAGGGATGTTATTCATAAATATCATTAACTTTGTATTGCAGCCAATAGAAAACTACAACGAGTGGCGATTATTGTATTTCATTTCCTTCCTCCTGCTTGTCGGATTCTTTGTCTTGAACATGTTCGTCGGCGTTGTGGTAGAGAACTTTCACAAGTGCCGAGAATCACAAGAGATGGAAGAGCGAGCTGTACGAGCTGCAAAGCGCCAGCAGAAATTGGAACGTAAACGAAAGAGTGAGGACCCTAAGAATCTCTCTGGTTCGTATTGTCCTACTGAGTCTGGCGACCACATTAACAAGGCTGATTTCACTCAATTTCATCACCATTTCATGATGAGACTGAATGCTGCATGCACACAACTAGTTTTCTCTCATGTGAATATTTCATCAATAACACAGTTTCAATTCATTACTAATTCTCAACTAATACCTGATACTTTACTAGCGATCCCATATCCTTCCTTTTCTTTAAGACTAAAAACTAATTTCCCAATTCTTGTCATAACTTGTCTGTCTAAAATCTTAGACAAGTTATAGCACTATTATATTTTCTTCTACTATCTCTGTTGCTCCAGCTACTCTTTACATCCTATTTAAAATGTAGTTGGACTTACGGCATGGTCTTCAGCAAAGTTGTGTGCTGAGTCCCTCTCTTTTACTTGCTGATGCAGACCTTACCAAAGCCTTGTTATGTGTTTTAGTTCTACATGAATGCTTGCCTGAAGTAAATTACATGTATTTTTAGGAATGCACAATTTTATCACAAAATAGGATACTGCTCAAAGCACTATATTATTTTAAACTGAAAAGATCTTAACTGGACATGTCAATCTTTCTAATTTGTAAAACTGTTGCTGTCTTTTCTCGCAGCACAAATTATCAAATCATGTGTTTATCTTATCTTTATTAAAGTTGTACAAGTTCATTTTATTTGATTACAATTTTTACATTTTGACAATCTGATTGAAGATATGTATTGAAAAGTTAAGTTTTATGAATGAAATCGGTATGACATGTCAGTTGAAGGCCAATCCACCCCTGCAAGATATAGATGTAGTGTAGTGAGAGATATTCCCAATCTCATTACAATAAGATTTTTTACTGTGATGCAACACCTCTATACATGCAGATCTGACTTGTCCTCTATGGAAGAACCTGTCAGGTGAACTTTCTTATCAGCCTCTCAGCATCGAGGCTTCTAAATTCTCTGTAAGAGTGACAGAAGCATTCAGTCCAGCATATCAGACTGCTGTATTTTGAAAATGAACTTAACTAAAAGTTCCAAATGTTCCACGCTATCATACCCTTGTGGGTATTTTATGTCATTTCTGAGCTCCATTGCATCTACACCCCTGAGGGAGTACCTTCAAAGGAATATTTGTGTTCTGTGCGTGTCTTCTGTTGTTAAAACTGAAAATTCCGAATTAAAAGTAAATAAAGAAATGGAGCAGAATTGTTTCTGTAAGTTGACATCTGATTGTCTCAAGAACCCACACATCCTTCATTTAGGAGGGGGTCAAAGTTCGCTCGGGTTTCACCTGACGCAGCCTTCCATGTTTTGATGTGAGATCTTCACCCAGAGAGGTATCATTTCGGAGTAAAACATCTTATTTTAATGAGGTTGGGGTATTGCACACATGATCTGTGAAAGCTGACTTGCTCGCATTACTAACACTCAGGGACATCACCCAATCATCATGTTCATTATTTCATGATTTTATGATTTTTATTTTTGTAAATGATTGAGTTTTGTTGCACTTTATTTGATTAATCCTCTCTTCTTTCTTTAACAAATCACATGAACAGTTTTAACACATGGTACTTGTTTTCATCATTTTCTGTTTGAAGCAGGCTTTTTGTTCGTTTCATTGTTTGATTATTAACATTGGCACTGAGATGTATTTGTTCATGTGTTTCACCTCTTTGGTTGTAACATCACATCCATCATTCACCTTTATACAAACATGTCACTTTAAGGAGAGTACAATGGAAGTCAAATCATTATAGAAATAAAGTGGCTTATTGTACATGAGAGACGTACATTTAGTTAATTTTACTGGAGAAAAAATCATCTTTGAAACTGATGTCTGGTTTCACATTTCAAATTTGAAAGAACATTTCACAGACTAAAACGCATTATCTAATCGATTGCGTTATCCAGGTGTGAGTTCCTGGTTTCACACAAACTTACGTCCCTTGAAATCTGTGAATTGTGTTTTCCTTAACTGTGTTTAGACGTAGGTTGACCAGTTTTTTATAGATTTAACTAGATCAAAAGCCTCGCTATTTTATATCTAACTTATTGAATTTTTAGTAGCATCTTATAGTTTTCAAGTCTATATGATTGGCTTCCATTGTAATCTCCTTGGGATAAATATTTCATTCTCATCATAGATAACAACTTGATCATCTCATACTGTGATTACATACCGTATTCGACGTAATAAGCGCCCAGGGCACTCTCAAAATGAGAAATAGGGGGCTCTTATTAGAATATAATTTTGGTGAAAGAGTTGAAAGATCGTAATTTTCGTGGTTTATGCTGACAGCCTGAAATGATACAAAAGAAAAGTCTGTGCATATTATACACGACAGATATATTTTTCCTGAATTTAATTCCCCTTTATGAAGGGAAAGTTGGCTATTGGAAAGTCATTGGATACATCTGGGAATGCTTGTAGACACCCCTCCCTCTTCATTCTCAGGAAAACATCTTTTCAAGCTAACAGTTCGTTTATGGCAGTCTTCTGATTCGATACAATTTGTCAAGGGGTGGTCAAGATTTTGAATGTAGATATGTAGAATGTAGAATCTATGCCAAACTCAAGTTTGAAGGAAGCATTTCGATTGCTTATTGATTTCAAGATGATGAGCAAGAGAAATTCTGAGCGATGGTGACCTCACTTCCGAAATAAAGCCATGGCTGTGAATGGGCCAAGGGTATTTATCAAAATAGAATGGAGATGTCATACCCTGTATTATCGAGGATGGTGGGGAACAGGATTATGTGTATGTAACTTATCATGTCTTTGGAAAGGGCAATGAGGATATGTTTGTCTTTCACAAACCCTAAATAGGAAATAATATTCTACAAATGCATTTCATGTCAACATTTACATAATCCCTTCTTTTAACAAGATATTTTCAGTGGCATTATATTTCCACATAAGTTCAAGTAGTAAACTAACCATTTAAGTACGTAAAGGTGTATTTGATCAAACATTTTTTCTTTTCTTTATTTTTTATTAGTTGTTTTACAAAATCTTTAGCCTAAAATTCAATGTAAGTAATTTTCTACTTTCAGATTAGTACTGCTACGAATGATTGAAAAGCAAACAAGTTTTAACATTGCAAGATACAGAAAGATAACTGATTGAGATTTTTGTGAAAAATAAAGATTTTTGTATATTTTATTCACCGTTCCCAATGAACAGGGGTGAGAATATATCAGCTTCTTTTGGACTTCTTTTTGGACAAAACAAGAAATTGTCAAAAGTCTTACAGTTTTTTTGGTCAGTCAGTCCATAAACTAACTAAAAAAATACTCAGGTAGAATAAATACCCTTCACATATCCTCACCTAAATTTCAATTTGGTAATAAAAATTATTCTGATAAAGTATTTTTTATACCAGCAATATAAAATGATAGTATTTAAAATTGTATAATATTTCAATGGCTGAATTAACTTTTGATCATATGAATTTATTTTTGGCTGAAAATTCATGATTTGGCTGGATGGTTATACAGGTTCATAAATGTTCTAGTTTGGTACACAACAAACCACCCATAAAGACAAGTCAAGACAGCTTTTCTTCCTTGTTTTGGGTCAAATGGAAAGTCACACGTCAAATTTTCTGTCATTACCCGGTACTAAGAGCTGTACGACTCTAATTGAGAATAAAAGTAACAAGATATAAACTGTATCAAGAGCACATAAATTACAGGCAGAATTTGAAATAGGATTTTTTTAAATAAAAATTCAAAGAAAAAGAAATCTTTTGAAAGCCTATTAGGGGATCCATATTCAGCCCAATTATAACACCTGAGCACTGTTCCACACAGTCATCAGTGTGGTATATTGTCGTCTATGTTAAAGCATGAGAGTAATTGTTGATTTAGCTTTATCTACAGAGGAGAAGAGAAGAGTTATATATGCTTCCAAAAGATCTCAGTATATGATAATAAAAAAATGATCACCGTTACTTTTTCTCTGGGTATATTTCAAAACATGTACTTAATATTATATGCATCACATGGACTGAAGAAAGTTCTCCTGTATATACGATGCTCAAGCTTGCATCCCTAGCCAACTCTTGATATATGTTATATTACTCTAGCTGCATTTATCTGGAATGACCCCAAGTGTCTCGCCTCCCAATGACATGTATCCTCGTTCATTCCCTATGACGCAACCCATCCCTTTTTCTCAGCATCCACAGCATCCTTGTCTTCATGAAATGTACACAAATATGCAGCTCTTCCCAACTGCTCCCATACCAATACCAGTGTGTTGTTAGATAGCTTGCATTGACATGTCCTTGTGCAGCATCATTGTAGTGTAGAATGTTGCCAGGAAAACAGCACCACCAATTCTATCAGATTTTATTTGAAGTTTCAAGCTCATTTCTAATTCACACTTCAATTCTTTATTTCTTCTGGTGTTCAAAGAAGGGAATATTTTTGGTAAATGTTAAGAATTTTTCTTCTGGTTTTGTAGGGGTTTTTTAAAATATACTGTGGCAGATGTAATTTTACACTGAACAGTCTTTCATTCCTTTTCTTAAGAGGGGATCTTTTTTAAACGAATTGTGTTGGTAATAAATGGTTCTGATGGTGATGGTGGCTATGCATTTAAGGCAACCCGTCCTTTTGTGTCTAATACCCCTAGTCTAGCTGTCTGATGTCAAATATGCAATAGATATACTCCATTTACACCTGAAAGCTATTAGTATAGCTAGTAGATTTCATATGCATCAATGGATTGATTTTGGAGGATAAAATGTAAAAAGAAATTAACAGATATTTGTTTTTTTAAATTGAACAGTTAGATATTGTTTTGCCAAGATCCTTTTGGAACTACGCATGGCTTAAAATTACAGGAAATTGTACTCTCAACTGGTGTGGGGTTTGATATTTTTGCACTTTCACAATCAGGGTTTGATGTTTATGAGGCCCTTAATTCTGCATGTTGTTTGAAGATAGTGAGTAGTGTTTCTTGCATTGTTACAATAACCAGCCAGACTCAGTTTAGTGTTGTTTAGTGTTGTATTGTAGTTCAAATTGGCAATCCATAGTCAAGTGACGAGTCATGTGATCTGGATTGATGAGTCATGTGATCTGGATTGATGAGTCATGTGACCTGGATTGACAAGTCATGTGATCTGGAGATGTCATGTGACCAGGAAGAAGGTGATGTACTGAAGAAAAAAAGTAGTATGTTGAAATGTGCTATTTCTTGTCTTTTGAATAAATGCTTTATGGAAGGGCTATTAGTCCTATGTAAATTTGGCATGGTGTTTGGGTTAATGCCATTTTTATAAAACACATTGCAAGATTAGGATAGTTAAGTGGTATTGTATGATGCTGATAAACAGACAAATGATAGTTTAGTAGTGGTAGTGTCATGGACTTGTATGAATTGCATCTGTCAACCATCATGTAGATTATTTGTGAATGTGATTGTAGATTTCATAACAGTAAGGAATATCGTTTAATCATAAATTCATCATTTCTTTTCTCATTATTACTTTCATTGCTCTCTACAAAATGCTAAAAAGATCTGATTTTGATTCTGTTGATATTTCAGAAAAAATGTTTTCTAAAACTTTGAAATTCTGCTTTTGAGTTAGATATAATTATTTTTCTTTTTTAAATTCTTAGAATAAATGTAGTTGTTATGCAGCTGTGCTTCTTATACATATGTAAATATATACTGCAGCTTCCGTCTCGGCTTCATTTACTCTTCACCTGTGCTTCAGTGCTGTGGCAAAAACATCGCAACACACAGGAGAGTTATCAGTGTAGTATTCAATACTAGTCCCATTTATCTACAGGTCTGTTCATGTGATTTGTTAAAGAAGGGATGGTAGTGTCAAATTTCTGAAAAAATATTAATGGTCTTTATCAAACAATTTCTTTTACTAATTCAATCTTTTAAAGATGTGATTTTCTTGTTTGGATGTCTATTCTTCTGTATATAACAGATACTGATAGTATTTCATGTGTACTTTAAATGATTGGATACAAATTTATTTCAGAAATTAAGATTTTTTGTGATGATATGGTTCAGGTTTTCATTTTTGTTTTGCCTAACTATTTCTTCAGAGTTGAGTGAACCTCCGTACTGGGCTCCCTACTCTCGTCCACGTCTGCTCATTCATACCGTCATCAACAGCAAATACTTTGACCTTGCCATTGCTGGGGTCATTGGGCTCAATGTCATCACCATGGCAATGGAATATTACATGATGCCCCAGGTAAATATTGGATACAGATGCATGGTTTAAAGAGGGCATCCAGAGAAACTTTTGATTACCAGTCTGAGATGAATGATTAAGTAACTGTTGTATCAAAGTGTGACGTCAGCATTGTGAACTGCTTGTAAAAGCATTGTCATTCAGGCAGAAGTTACTTTTTTCTTGAAAATGTCACTCACTCATGCATTCATACAAACTAATTATAACCTCTAAGCCTAATTTTATACCTCAGTGCAAAGTTGCAATATATTAACTCTTTATGTGTCAGTAGATAAAACATTTTGATTGTCTAAGGTGCCACAATTCAATGTGCACAGTTGTGTCCCTTTGGCCACGTATGATCGTCGGTTTGAATCATGGTTTGCCCCATTAATGTTTCTTGCTCTGTCAACACCATCCCCGTGCTCGCGGGTTTCACCCCAAGTGACAACCATCAGAGTGAGCGAGTTGGGCTTAACGCCGCTTTGAACAGTATTCCAGTTATATTGCGGTGTGTCAGTTTAATGTCGGGGGGAAAGCCCGAAGTTATGCAGGTTGCAGACGTTTACTACTTCGATGAAACCTACGAGCACGGATATTGTGCTGACAAACCTAGAAGCTTAATCAGGGTGCAACCATCAGAGACCTGCATCATTAAGGGCTTTCCTTCCACATTATGCTGACACATGATATAAGTGAAATACTCTTCAAGGCGGCATTAAACCAACCAACTCACTGACTCACTCTGATGTGATGATTACAATAGCTGCTGGATATGTAAAATATTGGAATGATGACCTTTGTGCTCATTGTACTCCAGTTGCATTCACATTATCAGTCACTGGTATGCTTCATTATCAGTCACTGGTATGTGTCATTACCAGTGACTGGTATGCTTCATTACCAGTCACTGGTATGTGTCATTATCAGTCACTGGTATGCTTCATTACCAGTCACTGGTATGTGTCATTATCAGTCACTGGTATGCTTCATTATAAGTCATTGGTACGCTTCATTACCAGTCACTGGTATGCTTCATTATCAGTCACTGGTATGCTTCATTACCAGTCACTGGTATGTGTCATTATCAGTCACTGGTATGCTTCATTATCAGTCACTGGTATGTGTCATTATCAGTCACTGGTATGCTTCATTATCAGTCACTGGTATGCTTCATTACCAGTCACTGGTATGTGTCATTATCAGTCACTGGTATGTGTCATTATCAGTCACTGGTATGCTTCATTATCAGTCACTGGTATGCTTCATTATCAGTCACTGGTATGCTTCATTATCAGTCACTGGTATGCTTTGTCCAGGCTTTGTAACTTTCTACAGGCTAAACGTGATTTTGCTGCACCATTAGACACAAAAATGAACGTTGTATTTCTTAATTACCTCCCTGAACAGGCAGTAGGGGACTTGTCTAGAAGATAGCTTTGATTATCTATTGATGTTGTTTTCCACAGGAGCTGGAGTTCGCTCTGAAGATCTTCAACTACTTCTTCACCAGTGTCTTCATCCTTGAAGCTATCATGAAAATAGTAGCCCTTGGATTCCTCCGATATATGAGAGACAGGTAAAGAACTAAGTTGCCTGGAAAATGATAGCTCTTGGATTCCTCCGATATATGAAAGATAGGTAAGGAAATCAGTTGCCTGGAAAAGTGTAGCTCTTGGATCCCTCCGATATATGAGAGATAGGGAAGGAAATCAGTTGCCTGGAACATAGCTCTTTGATTCCTCCGATATATGAGAGACAGGTAAGGAAATCAGTTGTCTGAAAAATAGTAGCTCTTGGATTCCTCTGATATATGAGAGATAGGTAAGGAAATCAGTTGCCTGGAAAATAGTAGCACTTGGATTCCTCCGATATATGAGTGACAGGTTAAGAAATCAGTTGTCTGGAAAATAATAGCTCTCGGATTCCTCTGATAGATAGGTAAGGAAATCAGTTGCTAGAAACTTAGATTTCTTAAATATATTTGAAACCAATATCGATACTACTTGTGAAAATTGTAGCATTTGATTATGTTTTGTACATTGCTGAAAGAGATACTTTAGATATGCAGATATGTTTTAATAATATTTTGGATTCATCAGATGCAAAGCGATAATGTATGGTTATGATGTGGTAGGTATATTGAGATAATGTTCAATGACAATAGTTCTGTACTTCATGAGTACTTAAGGAGTGACATATCTATGGATGTGGACAGCATTACTTGGTGTTTCGGAGACTGTATGACTGAAGACACATTTACATAACTGGGTGTCCTATTGCAGATGGAACCAGCTGGATATGCTGATTGTCATTCTGTCCATATTTGGCATCATCCTGGAAGAGATGAAAACCTACATCATTCCAATCAACCCTACCATCATCCGTGTCATGCGAGTACTTCGCATTGCAAGAGGTAAGACATCAGTCAGTGACATCAACCGCATTGCACATGTCCCTATGATGTTACCTTGTCTTGCAGAGTTGATGTGGCTGAAGATTGTTTACCTGTCCCAATGATGTTAACTTGTCTTGCAGAGTTGATGTGACTAAAGATTGTTTACCTGTCCCAATGATGTTATCTTGTCTTGCAGAGTTGATGTGACTGAAGATTGTTTTACCTGTCCCAATGATGTTAACTTGTCTTGCAGAGTTGATGTGACTGAAGATTGTTTACCTGTCCCAATGATGTTAACTTGTCTTGCAGAGTTGATGTGACTGAAGATTGTTTTACCTGTCCCAATGATGTTAACTTGTCTTGCAGAGTTGATGTGACTGAAGATTATTTTACCTGTACCATTGATGTTATTTTATTGTTGTACAGTGTTGAAGTGACTGAAGATTGTTTTACCTGTCCCAATGGTGTTATCTTGTCTTGCAGAGTTGATGTGACTGAAGATTGTTTTACCTGTCCCAATGGTGTTATCTTGTCTTGCAGAGTTGATGTGACTGAAGATTGTTTTACCTGTCCCAATGATATTTATTACCTTGACTTGTTGTGTTGAAGTAACCAAAGAGTTTTTGTTCTTCACTCATGATGTTACCCTTTTCTCTTGCAGTGTTGAAGTTACTGAAGATGGCCAAGGGTATCCGTGCCTTGCTAGATACTGTGATACAAGCATTGCCTCAGGTGGGCAACCTAGGGCTGTTGTTCTTCCTACTGTTTTTCATATTTGCTGCGCTGGGTGTGGAGCTCTTTGGAAGGCTAGGTAAGTACCATGTGTTGGTGGCATAGGTAATCAATATTCGAAAGCGAAGTTTTCATGTGAATGGACTATGGTAGTGTTTTAAGCCTCTACTGTGCTATGTAGGATAGCACAATGGTTAGTGCACATTACTTGTTGTACACAAGGTCCAGGTTTTGATTCCCATCACAACAAGGTGAAGCCAGTTCTTGGTGTACTCTATTTTATGACTTATTCCTTTTATGGCCCCTGATGAAGTGTTTGCTCATGCTATCAGCCACTTGATTGTCATGTCCAGACTGTGTATTACAAAACCACTAATGAATAACTGTAATAGTCTATGCTGCTATAGAATTACGTTCACTCACATTCATATTTGAAAATTATGGAATTAAATTGAGTGATTTCTCTGGTACTTAATGGGGGCATGGGTTGCCCAGTCGTCTAAGGTGCCGCGATTCGCTGTATAGAGTTGCGTCCCTAGGGATTCGAATTGTGCATTCGAATCCCGGTTCGCCCCGATTATGTTTCTAGGTTTGTCAGCACCATACCCGTGCTCATGGATTTCACCGAAGTGGTAAACGTCTGAGACATGCATCACTTTGGGCTTTCCTCCCACATTAAGCTGACACGCCGTGATATAACTGGAATACTGTTAAAAGCGGTGTTAATCCCAACTCACTCACTCACTTTGGTACTTACTTCAATGGATTGGGTGGTCATGCTTGGTGACTTGGTTAACTTCATTGATTGTTACAGTATCATACTCCCAACAACATCAATCATGATAATGATCACTGGATTGACAGGTCAAGACCCGATTGTTTACAGGCTGCAAAATATGGCTTTAGTATTGCTGGGTGCAGCGCTGGGCATCACCCAAACACTTACTTTTGTTATGAATTATAATTGTGGCAGGTGCTACTGGTAGAGCAGGACATGCTTACCCTTTAAAGGGAACACCTGGTGTCATCACTGATTTTCAGTGATCCATTCATATAATTTTCATCACTGTTTTGCTTTTTAAGCCCCTAAAAATGTTTCGGGAGATAATCAAGACTGATTATTCATGGGCGTTGACATTTTGAATTCCTTTGGCAGAGTGCTCCCAATACCACCCTTGTGAGGGTCTTGGAGAGCATGCTCACTTCCGCAACTTTGGTATGGCATTCCTGACACTGTTCCGTGTGGCTACGGGTGATAACTGGAATGGAATAATGAAGGTAAGACAGTTCGGTTCTGACTTGTATGTTAAATACAGTAATTACAGTTTCATATATCAGGACCTCCAGACAGAAAATAGATTTCCCCTTCTCCCCTGTATGTGATGATAGATGGAGTTTAGGAAGTGACCTTGTGAGATGACTTGACATTTTCACCATACTCATTTTGTTCTCCTCAATGTCAGAATCAATATTCAAGATACTTTTAGCACCTTGGGCTTTCCTCTCGCATCAAGTTGACATCTGTAACACAACTGAAATACTGTTCTAGGTGACATTAAAACAAACTCACTCAAGATATTTGGGGGCATTGGTGGCCCAGTCGTCTAGGGCGCCACGATTCGCTGTGCAGAGTTACGTCCCTTGGGCACGCCAGAAACCTATGATTGTGGGTTCGAATCCCGGTTCACCCCAATTATGTTTGTAGGTTTGTCAGCTCCATACCCATGCTCGTTGGTTTCACCGAAGTGGTAAATGTCTGAGACCTGCATCACTTCAGGCTTTCATCCCATATTAAGCTGACACGCTGTGATATAACTGGAATACTGTTAAAAGCGGCGTTGAACCCAACTCACTCACTCACTCACTCACTCACTCAAGATAATTTTAGCACCTTGGGCTTTCCTCTCACATCAAGTTGACATACTGTAATACAACTGAAATACTGTTCTAGGTGACATTAAAACAAACTCACTCAAGATAATTTTACAAATGTATAGGTGAGCGACAGAAACAGAGAAGTAGCCTTCCTTTGTCTCCAGACGTCAGAACATAGTGTATGTTTGTTTCAGGACACATTGAGAGACAACTGTGACGCAACGGACAACTGTCTGAGGAACTGTTGTGTCAGTCCCATCATCGCCCCCGTCTACTTTGTCGTGTTTGTACTCATGGCCCAGTTCGTCCTCGTCAATGTCGTGGTGGCTGTGCTGATGAAACACCTAGAGGTATGTTCACATTGTGTACATTTCAGTTGGTAAAAAACTTCAAGCCTTGGCCATTTAACCAAATCAAAATCCATTTCTCATTGAAATAACAGTCGACAAACATTATTTATAATTACATACTTGCATACATAAGCAAGTCTAAATGTAATTGTTTATGTATGAGATTAATGTTTCTGTTTCCTAGAGAACATTTGCCAATATAGGTGTGTTTTGTTAGAAATGGTGGAGGTTCAGGATAGATGGATGGTTCTGGTTTGTCTTCACGAGTTTCATGCATTTTAATTCACTTGGGTGTGGGATTTGAAAATTGTTGTGATTTTATGAACATTTGTTGAAATATGTTACATGTATTTTGTGGTGATGGTTTGTTAAGATTGTGATCACGTTTGATATTGATTTTATTATTAAACTGTTTGGTAGGTATATTCAATAGGATTTAGAAATGAAATAGAGCAATAGAGGAACTATTTTGCTGTGCAGCATGATAATGAGTGCTGTGTCATCATCATTGCCAGTTGAGCTAGCGTAGGAATTGACTGTTTTGCTTGTGTATTGAATATTACATTTGCAGTGACTCTATCACATTATGACGATCACGTAGATGCCCAATTCAAACCAATGCATCTAGTTCTCATATATGAAACAGGTCATGTATTTCAGACTAATTGTGATTCATCGTTTTGTTAAGTAGTTACAAGATATGAGCCCCATTAGAAATATGTATGGCCTTATGTTGTAGATAATATGAAATAGGTTTGACTTGATGTGAAGATAGGGTTTTCAGCTCTAGGTGCTATGAATAGTTGCTTCTGGTATACTTCACAGTTGACCAGCTATACTTCACAGTTGACCAGCTATACTTCTGTCCTTACAAAAGTAAATACTGATTGGATGTGACAAACATTTATGATTGTGATATTTTCACTGAAACACAGAGAACAGGATTCCCAATATACGCTCCCTCGGACTTGGAGGATGATGAGGATTTTTTTTCTCTGGATGATGACCATGATGATGATGATGATGATGATGATGATGATGATGATGATGTTGATAAAGAACAGGTCAAAATTTGATTGTTTTGTTTTTTAATCAGATTTCAAATTTCTGAGTGCTTTTTGCCACATATTTCCTGACTGCCTGAAAAAGATGTTTAAGATTTCAAGAAAAACATCCCTTTACTCTGTGCTGTTTTCAACCTTTCTTCACAACATTTCAACACAGGAGCACTTTTGTGTGTGTGTGTATATATATATATGCACCAATTGCTGATTCAGCTAAATAAATCCTTTATCTTCACATATAACACAAGATCTGTTTTCATATCAGTCATTGATTTCTTTTCATGACTTATCACAATCTGCAGTTTGAAATATTTTTCACCGCAACTTTCTTTTTTTTTTCAATTCTTACATTTTGAAACTACAATGACTGTGCCTTCACTTGCATAAATCTATTATCTTCACATATGACCAATATATATTTGTGAATGAATTTGACCCAAAATGACCTATACATCTGTCCATCACCTCAACATAAGTCATTGTTTGTAATTCAGAACTTCACGCTTGTCTTACCAGAATGCAAGGGCCCAGATTCCCAAGGATTTGTTGTACAACCATGACCCCAATTTGATCTGACCTTGACACCAATTTGACCTGACCTTGACCCCTATCCCAGTCTGACATAGTGAAGCGCTGGAATATTGTTGCCCCAATTATGTGCCCTTATTGAGCGTGTTACTTGGCTCTTGTTGTATGCTGACGCTACAAGCTCTGCTCTCCTATATTGTAATGTCTTCAGGTATGGAATGGGTTTGAGCTTCTGAGAGTGATTATGTGATTTGTTTGTAATCTACACCTCTTTTCCAGAGCATTTCATGATGTTAAATGACAGATTTTTCAAATTGAAATTCAAAATTTGAATTATTTTTTTATGTTCCCACCAAGTGTGTGATTTAACACCTCAAAACAATCATCACGTTTGAATATTTACTGTTTGAAAATGCACTGTTTGAAAACTCTGTCACTAGATTATTGGTCTACCTATCCCACTTGCTAATGACGTCTGGCATGCATATCTTTCTCTTGTGCACGGCATGTTTAGGAGACGTACAAGTATAAAGAGTTGGATGACGAGGTTGAGGAGGAATTGCGCCTTGAGATGGCAGCACGCAATGAAAAACAGGCAGAAATGATAGAAATGAAGGTGAGATAAGGGAGATAAATCTAATAAGAACTCTCCTGTTTTGTGGAGGTCGGAAACTTCTCCCAGGTGTCTAGTAGCCATTTTGTTTTTCATGTATTGATTTTAGTTTTTTATTAATTAGCAATCAATAAAATATTTGAGGGATTTTATTTTGTACTTCTTACCCTTTTTCTTTTCATCACATATTTGAATTCAGCATTTTCAATCACTTTTCTCCCACATTGCATGGCTGCACTGACACAAACTGCACAAAATCAGATTGACTACTTTTTCTCTATTTTTCACTTTTGGTAGATTTTCAGAAATATATTTTCATCTAGTGTTTAGTTTTACACAGATGTATTCTTCAAATTGTATATTTTGTATATGATTTACATTGTATATCGCTGTACTCGGGTACTCTGGGATATACCACCTGTTTAGCAGAAGCATGTGGATTATTGCATGCCTGTTGCCTTAAAGCATGATCCATTGCACAACCTCCATGTCATCCATAAGTTGTTGAAGCCTTTAATAAGACAAATGAATATGAAAAATGTAGGCCTTTTATTAATAAGTGTAAGTTGTATCAGTTAATCAATTACAATGTATTATATTATGACATGTTAATGATACCTGCTGCAATATTGATAATAAAAATTAAAAGATAAAGATTAATTATAATTTTCAGTTGAAACATTTATGTTTCAGTGTTTATGTTTCATCATTTGATCAGCTTGATGAAAAATTAAAAGGATCCATATTATTTATGAGCAATTACTCCCACTGTGAAGTCTTTCAATAAACTACCACGAATATGTTGTGTTTAAAAACAGTCCAGCAGAAATAAACAGACTGTGGCTGGACATGTATATATCGAAGTACTCACTTCTTGACTATCAAGAGGAGGGCACATGTGGCCCAGTTGTCTTAAGTTTCGTCTCTGGGTTTGTCAGCACCATACCCATGCTCTTTGGTTTCACCGAAGTGGTAAACATCTGAGACCTGCATCACTTCTGGCTTTCCTGACCGCCTCCGTGATCTAATGGTAGAGCGTCTGCCCGGAGAGCAGAAGGTCCGGGTTTCAATCCCCAGCCGCGTCATACCAAAAGACGTTAAAAGATGGTACTTGTTGTTACCCTGTCTGGCGCTCGGCATTAAGGGGCTAAAACAAGGACTGGTTGGCTCGGAGTCAGTATACTGTGTCTGAGTGGGGTATTCATGTTAAACTGCGGCATGGTATCTCAGTGTGCTAGCACTATAAATTGGCATCAGTCCGGACTAGTACAAGCAGCCACACACACACACACATATATACACGTACATGCACGTCGCTATATAAGTGCAATAATCTTGGACGCGACGTTAAACCCGATTTCACCTCACCTCTGGCTTTCCTCCCACATTAAGCTGACACGCCGCGATATAACCAGAATACTGTAAAAAGTGGTATTAAGCCGAACTCACTCACTCACTCTGTCAAGAAACGATAATGATTTCTTCTATCAAAGCGGTTGTTGGTTTATGATCCTTCTCCAAATTTCATACTTTTTCATAACTTTTTCTGATCTTAAATCCCCCGTGAGGATTAAAAAATACCCCTAATAACTAATGTAGGTCTTGGGTGGTCTGAATGTCGACTGATAATGAACTTGGATTGTGACCACCAGGGATGACGTCACCTGATCCTTGCTGACAGTGTCCACCACTGGTTCATCTGGCCCATGCTTGATTAGCGGGACCACCTCCGTGGTCTAGAGGTAGAGCGTCTGCCTGGAGAGCAGAAGGTCCGGGGTTCCATCCCCGGACGCGTCATACCAAAAGACATTAAAAGATGGTACTTGTTACCCTGTCTGGCACTCGGCATTAAGTGGCTAAAACAAGGACTGGTCGGCTCGGAGTCAGTATACTGTGTCTGAGTGGGGTATTCATGTTAAACTGCGGCACGGTATCTCAGTGAGCTAGCACTATAAATCGGCATCAGTCCGGACTAGTACAAGCAGCCAGACAAACACACACACACGTGCATGCACGTCCCTTTATAAGTGCAGTAATCTTGGACGCCACGTTAAACCCCATTTCACCTCACCTTGATTAGCGGCATGATGTGACTGAAACATTGTTCATCATCATACCAAATACCATGCACTTCCTGTATATATGTACCTGAACATTTGCACTTTTTCGAATGTGGTATTGGGCTGTCATTAGTTCATCTGTATGGTATTGGTCGTCTAACGGGAGTTGGTGTGCATAGTTGCATCCCTTAGGCATGCCAGGATCTTATGATCATGGGTTCACATTCCAGATGGTGGCTTTCACCAAAGTGGTTAACATATTTGACCTGTGACACGTTGGGCTTTCCTCCAAAATGAAGGGGACAGCCTGATGATATGTCAGCTCAGTAAATCAGAAGATATTAAGCTAACATTGACCTAACTTATTGTAATTGTTCAATTGTTGAAAATAGTTTCATTTCAGTACAACAATAGTTGACTTTCAGGTTTAGATTCAGATCAACCAAAAATATTACCTTGACTAAATATTGATAAACGTAAAGAGGAAATTATGTCTATCAAAAACTTATCAGAGGTATTACCTACATTTATAGAGACTTTTGCAACTCATATACTACAGTTATAATCATATATGCATTTTTAAAGTATTTATCAATATTTATCATATATATATATGTACTCTTTGATATATGGCTGAGCCCTGTTCAGAGATTTATCTATATAGGCAACAGTCTATGGCTACTGTCTTCTCAGAAGAGGCAGACATTGGGTTGCTTTCTGTTAACTAAAGGGAGAAGGAATGTATAGTGTGCAAGTTGATTTGCAGGAATCGCATCGCAACTTTACGGAGGATGATGACGAAGTTGCTGCCATCACTGAGGGTGGACAGTCAGATGAGAAGCTGGAGGATGAGGAGATAGATGGTGACAAGAAAAGCTCAGAAAAAAGCTCTCAAGAAAATAATGAGGTACATGAATCCTGTTACATTAAAGCATTCATGGAGAAAGAACTATCTTGGTGACATCAATGGTCAATTAGAGAAAATTAAAAATAAGTGACATATATAATAATTCTTGCGAATACTCACTGTCATAATTCCCATAGTATGGCCATCATCACATTAAAATAATTATCAGATTTTCAACAGAAATCTGCTACACTGTCAAGTATCAATTTTCAGTTTCCAAGAGAATAGTATCTTTCCTGTGTCTGTTTTTGTCAACAATAAAATGTATGTTGGGAAACACTTATTTCTGTGCAAATATATTGGTTGTTAAACAAAAGGAAATAAGGATCTTTATCATAAAAAAAGGGACAGCTCAAAGACAGCAGGGAACCAGTCCTTGTCATTAATTTTGTTTTGCTGCACATGTAGGAAACAACATGTAAACAGTTTCAGGAATTAAACATTGCATGCCAGTAAATGGGTGTCTGTGTTAGTTTCGTGCAGACTTATGAGTTACCCAGTAGTCCAGGATGCTGCACTTAGTCAGAAATATAAACATGGGTTTGAATCCAAGATTAGCTCTGATTATGTTTCTTGGTTTGTTTGCAAAATACCTGCTCTCCTGGCCTTCACCAAAATAGTATAACACTAAGACCTGCATCACTTTGAGCTTTCTTCCTACATCAAGCTGACAACCCGTGATATAAATGAAATACTGTTCTAAGCAGTGTTAAAGCAAATTCTCTAATACCTGCTCTCCTGGCCTTCACCAAAATAGTATAACACTAAGACCTGCATCACTTTGAGCTTTCTTCCTACATCAAGCTGACAACCCGTGATATAAATGAAATACTGTTCTAAGCAGTGTTAAAGCAAATTCCCTCACTTACTTCTCTGAATAATCAAACTAAAAACGTCGGCATAGAAGAGAACTCATTTCCAATGCAACCCTGACATGCTGCTTTGATCACTTGTCCAGTCAACCCTTTTTAGAAAATGGGGACATTCTCAAAGTATTGAAGTCATGTCCCAGTTTGACATCTCACTAAGTTATCCTGTTATCTCAATCTAATTAACTTGAAATATATCTGTGAGCATTGGTTGTCTCAAAGAGCCCCTGTTTTGATGAGGGAGCACGGGTGGCCCAGTCGTCTAAGGTGCTGCAATTCGCTGCGCAGAGTTGTGTCCCTTGGGCACGCCAGAAACCTATGATTGTTGGTTCGAATCCCGGTTCGCCCCGATTATGTTTCTAGGTTTGTCAGCACCATACCCATGCTCGTGGGTTTCACCGAAGTGGTAAACGTCTGAGACCTGCATCACTTCGGGCTTTCCTCCCACGTTAAGCTGATATGACTGGAATACTGTTAAAAGCAGCGTTAAACCCAACTCACTCACTGTTTTGATGAACCAAGAACCATGGGGTAGGTAGAGCTTCTGCCCTGACCCAGGCGAAACTTGAAGCAGGGGTTACGGGTGGAAATCTTTCATACCATGGTAGCCATGGTTGACACATTGACATACATTGTTATGTCATCCGATGAACATGTAAAGGCTGCATAAACTAGAAGTGTTTGTTTGTAGGTAGAGGTCAAGGCTTCTATTAACCATGTTGGATAGAAAAACAATCCAGATTGACCTAAGAGCAGAGTTGTGTCCAGAGCTCCAGATAAGCTGCGTATCTGCGTGAAATACGCATCAGAAATGCAGAAATAGGCAGTAAAATATAATCCAAGTGTATCAAATATGCAACGAACATTACAGATACGCTACAAAAATAAAACTTGTGACCTATAAAGCTCTTGAACCCACACGACACAGTTTGCAGGGACTAGATGAATAGTGTTTTTAAATATTTAACTTAAATACCCACATGTGTAAAAACTAGTGGGTATCAGAAATTTGAATACCCAGATAGAATTACTGATACCCAATGATTTTAAAATGCATGGGTAAAATACCCACAACACCAAAAGCTTATCTGAAGCTCTGTGTGTCCCTTAATCATGCCAGGTTACATTGATCGTGGGTTTGAATCCCAGATTTACCATGACTATATCACTGGTTTGCCAGGTATAAAAGTACTCAGAATCCACCATTGTTACAGAGTTGTCCCTTTGTCAGAATCCACTGATCATGGGTTCCAACACCGGATTCTCTCAAATAATCATCCCTGATGCATCAGCGTTACATGACCTGTGACATTCACCCACATTAAACTGACAATCTGTGATAGCAATGAATTTCTGTTCAAAGTGGCATTGAAAACAGCACACACACACAACCACACATATTGATTCCTATTTTAATCTGCTGCAGTCCCCTGAAGCGCAGACCGAGGAGGATATTGAAGGGCTGACCGTGAAGATCCCGGATGACGTCCCAACAGTCCAGGTGGCCCCGAGTTTTACCTTTAGCGTCCGGCCGCCCAGCGAGGAACAGTCACAGGCGGAAGATGACAGTATGTAACGTCACAGTTGTTATCTTACAATATGATCACAACTCAAATGTCTGAGGCCATTATATTCTTATTTATTGGATCCTGCATGGAAGAATATTTCGTTATTTTACACCTTTTTTTTACATTGGCATACCATTGGCATAATTTGTGATTACTCAGCGTTTTGAAAAATCAACACTAATACAATAATCAATTTATCATTCATTTACGGACGAATCGTTCATAGCTGATCCAGTGCATTATCAGTCTAGAGTTCTGTCCCTTGTCAATGATACACAAACACTACCAAAATTACCTCCCTTAGTCATCCAAGAAATTATAATATTCACTCATAAAAAATCAAAGGCACCTACCTATATGGTGGATAATGTCATTTTTAAAACATTTTTCCCTCTACCAACTTCTGATTTGGCCAAAAATATTCATGGTCCAACAAATAAAAAATTAATGTCAAATTTGGAATCATTTCTTGTTTGTTAAAACAGAAAGTCACTGAATACTGTAACTATTTGTTTTTTAATTGAATATGAAATTGATGCTATGATATCAGTGGGAATTCTCAGAAAGGGACAATAGGGGTTTTATTTGATGAAAGTTGATGAAAGAGAATCAGGGAGGGAGCGGTTATGTTGTAGGCAAGTGTCTTCTTCATGTTCTGTTTTTGTGTTATCATGAAGAAAATACATGACAATTAATCTCAACAGGAATCCAAAGACTTATACGAAGACTCCATGGCAACATTCCCAAACATTGGTGTAATTAAGATTTACTTCTAAGTCTGCGGCACATTTTATTTCTCCATCATATAGCTCTTGGAGGATCTGTAGTGGTAGTATGATGTTATGCATGACTGATTTCCCGCTGATAGATAGTCAGGCTGACCCACCTTACATCCTCAGTCCATCAAGGTATGCATACACCATTCCTCCTCAGGTAGCCTCCAGGTTTAACAGGCTTTTGACATTAGGGGAGCAATTCCAAAGTCCAATGTAAGATAAATTAATTAATTTCAGTTTTAAGACATAACTCCACCCTACAAAATAAAAATAGACAACTGTGTGATTTATTTATTTATTTATTTATTTATTTGAAAGTCATTCTCCCGTCGATTTAAGACTTCAGCTGGCTTTTTGATAGTGATGTAGACATGGAACTTATTTAAATAGTTTTTTTTGCTATTAGTGGGAGACATGATAAAATAAATATTTTTATGCTTAATATATTTCTTGGATTGACTGCTTTTCATTAGGAGCAGCAATGAAAAATGTGTGGCCTCACTTCATATATAGCTTGATTCAGATGGCACACCTCAAAACCCATTGTCCCTTCAGAGCAAAATTCTGTGAGATTGGAGTGTGGGATGACGTCACTGCGCTCAGCAATATCCAGCTCATTGACATCATCAGCATTGATGCAAGCAATTGGGATACAATGACATGTCGACAACCAAGTCACATAGCCTGACCACCAATCCATTTAGTCGCCCTTACAAGACAGGCATAGGTGGCTGGGGACCTGGATTCCTACCCAGAAACCCCATGGGTGTCATCACTTCTGAAACAAAACTATCTTTACAAATGGGTCCAGAGTATTTATTATAATAGACTGGACAGTCTAGTATGGATTAAAGTGTGAAATACTGTTCAAAGCAGCACGAAACCCAATCTCATTAAAATCAGATTTTAGTTCTCACTATCGCTAAACAAAGATCTGAGGACATCCCATGACGGGTCACGTCAGAACGACCTTTCATCCAGATCATGAAAGTGACAGTCGGAATGTGTTTTGTGACCGTGCAACCACAAAATATTTAACACAGGGTATTCCCAAAGACAGTTACGGGTTTTATGATTATATCCATTACAATCTATGCCATCTTTTAGCCATTCCAGAATGATCTTCTTATCAGCTTTAAATTTTTTGATAGAGAATACGTCAAAATATGTTTCGAGGCGTAGTCGCCAGTTTGAAAATAGTGTCGTAAAGCTCGAGAAAGCTGCCTTCTGATTGGCTAATGTCGATTTCTTGTCAGTCATTTCATTAGTCGGTCAAAATTTGTGAAAGGTTGTTCTGACGTGACCCATAATGAGATGTCCTCAGATCTTTGTTTAGCGATAGCAAGAACTAAGATCTGATTTTAATGAGATTGCACCAAACCTCTCGCTGAGACATGAAATATGTATACAGTGAAACCCATATTGACTGTATGTGGAAGGTAGACACAATTGTATGGATAACTTCTTTAATACTGTGAAAAGCGACGTTTCGGTATAGATCCTTATACCTTTGTCAAGTAGGACTGCAGTATTAAAGAAGTTGTTATCCATAAAACTGTGTCTACCTTGTCACCCGTCAACTTCTAAGTAATGCCTATCAAACAAGTTGACTGTATGTAGACAACAAGTGTAGTGTATGCATTACCCTGATGGTTTGAAGATACAAATTGTACGTTTAGGTTCACAACTGATGTAAGAAATGACACTTATGTAAGTACTTTGTTTGATTATTTGGTCCACCAATGTTCAAGAGAGAACATATCAAATTTGTTGTCCCATGAAAAAAACAAAAGTTTACGTCCATGTCCAAAAAAGGTGCTTCGCCTGAATATTTGTTTTCAAATCTTCTTCTGCAGTCACGCTAAGAAGTAAACATAGATACCCAATTGTAGATACCATGCAGTAGTTTCATTTATCATAAAGATATCCATTAGTTTATGAGTTTAACTTTATGAGCAAAAAAAGCAGTTTTGTGGGCACAGGTTGTGTAGCTTCCCCTCACTTTGAAAGATACTGACTCCAAACCCAAGTATCTGCTTATAGCTTGTTGCTTACACTCACAAGTCCATTTGTTAAAGTTCTTATACATGTAGATATGAGGGGCACGGGTGGCCCAGTCGTCTAAGGCGCCACGATTCGCTTTGCAGAGTTGCATCCCTTGGACACGCCAGAAACCTATGATTGTGGGTTCGAATCCAGGTTCGCCCCGATTATGTTTCTAGGTTTGTCAGCACCATACCCAGGCTCGTGGGTTTCAACGAAGCGGTAAACGTCTGAGACCTGCATCACTTCGGGCTTTCCTCCCACATTAAGCTGACACGCCGTGATATAACTGGAATACTGTTAAAAGCGGCGTTAAACCCAACACACTCACTCACTCACATGTAGATATGTACAAAAAATGTATATGTCACCATCATCAGGAAATAGCACCCATCGTATAACTGCTTTCTGCAAGGATATGTACTGAACAACATAGTAAGTGATCATGGATATTTGGGGGGTATCTTTTTTATGATGAAGCACACAATTTCATAAAAATATCCCCAAAAATATTCATGATCCCTAACTTTTTTGGGTTCAGTATGTAACAGCGGTGTACTATGAGGGTCCTGATGGGTTTTAATACTTAACGTAAAACACCCTTCAAACACTATCGTAAACGTAAAATTCATCTTTTTTTATGGTAAATGCTTAATGGAAAATACCAAAAAGTAACTGCTTAACGTAAATAAATCTGGTGATAATATTTGTTGAAAAATGCATTTGGCATTTTTGTGAAACAAATATGCGACCCCAAAACCTTTTCACGACGAATTTATTGAAAAAGAAGAAAAATTACTGCTTAATGAAAAAGTACCCTAAATTTTACTGCTTACTGCTTATGGGACCCCCCCATCAGGACCCTCTACTATTCTTTCAACAATTTAACAAAATGTTATATTGTAAAGCAAGAGCATTTAGAGCATGGTAATGTATCTTCTGTGTTAAGTTTTTGTATACCTGGTGTATTCCATAATATCAGCGAACAATGTATCAAAAGGTACCCGCCATCTTCAATACTTCCTGGATGACATCAGCAACATGCCTCGTGCAACAGGCACCTTGCAGACGTCTTCTCTACACATTTACCCTTGCAAGGCTCCTGTGCAGAGTAGGGCTCATTTGACTTCTTGAGTTATACACAACCTCATTTTAGCAGACTAGAATCAGATACACGTCATTATTACTCAGCGTAACATGCGTATGTATTCAAGGTGATAAAGTGTATGCAAACCCGTGAAGTATTGACGACTAGTACACGCATGCTCCATATTCAAACTTTGATGTTACATAATTGATTTCCCATAGATTATTAGTTAATCTCCAGGACTACTAATCCATGTAGACATTGCTTAGTCAAGGTCAACAAAGTAATCTGGTTGAAAGGATCATGCATGGCTTTGACCGTTACGCTTCGTATTACCGTAATGTCTCCATTATTCACATGTATATTATACAAACACCAAAGACTGTTTTCTAAAAAAGCTAACGTATTCGACGTAATAAGCGCCCCGCTCTAAAAAGCGTCCATGGCGATATTTGCTAATATATTGGCAAGTAACAATCCCAATTAGCACCCCTTCCGATTGATCAATGTACACAAGACTTATTTATTTGCGTATAATACACACTTGTGTGTTATATGCACCGTTAATTATGGGGAATTAAATTTTGGAAAAATATATCTGTCGTACATAAACATTTCAGGCTGTCAGCATAAACCACGAAATTTATCTTTCAACTCTGTTTTTTTCACCAAAATAATATTCTAATAAGAGCCCCCTATTTCTAATTTTGAGAGCGCCCTGGGCGCTTATTACGTCGAATACGGTATATCACCAATAGTATTTCATCCTTCAAATTATAAATTGAATGCTTACATAATTTTAAAGAAATGTTGTTTGTATAATATATTTGTTGTTGCTTATTTGGAGAATTATGGTAAATAGCAGTAGTGAACAGTCAATACAGACTGTCATATAAGGAACATTTATCAGTACACAGGTACAGTAAGGTATGTTTATGTGGGGATAACTGCACCAATTCACACCTATATCCAGTGCACCAATTTGCTGATGGAATTGCAAGGTTGATATTGATAAATTTAAAGATTTACTGTTTATAAATACGACACTAATGTAGATGCCTGTACAACCAGTGATTCTTTAACCCATTGCATGAAAACCAGTCGTTTGGCTTCCCATCCCAGAGAGCTAGAAACATGAGTGAGTGAGTTAAACATTAATGGCAAAATGGCGATATTTAACCCATATGACCTCTAAAGTTTCCATTTTTAATTTAATTCATGTAAAATGTGTAACCTTGCACTTTTCTTCTAATTCATTGTCAATACATTCAGAGTCTTCTCTTGATGTGAAGGCAGTTGACTGATTCCAGATATAAAAGCTGAGATTCTAAAAATGTGAAAATGAAATTTTAACAATATATATAATCTTCCCGCACCGTATAATTGCAAGAAACAGGTCATATAAATGTCAAAAGTATTTATTCCAAACTGCCATTTTTCTATTGGATTATACCAGCAAACTTACTGTAGCCTTATTTACATAACAAATATTTGATTCTCATTTGAAACTGTTATGAGAGAGTGCTGTGTGTTTGTCTCCAGACTCTCCAGAACGTTGCTAGCTAGGTGCTGACAGTGTATCTCCAAGAAACAAATTCTCAATCTATAATGGTTTCCTTGGTGCAACAGTTCTGTTGAAGGATCTTTTAAGGGTTTTTTCTACATAGAACCTGCATTATCGAGGTCAATCTCCCTGCTTTCATCAATTAATCAATATCTTACATGTCAGCATTGCATGCAGGGGGGATGTATGTCAGGGTGCTTCCAGGCAGGGATTGGTCTAAACATGTCTGTCACAGTGACGTAACATCAGCTGTGTTAACACACAATAGCCCACTGTGCCCTGACACTGGGCAGGCAGATTAGGTTCGTTTTTGTAAAGGTTTAAAAATTGCTGGAAATGTCATTTTAATGTAAGTAATTTTACACCAGATTCATTTTGTTTGAAATGATGTTTTAATATTGATGATTTTTAGTTCACAATTTGTAAGATATACAATAAGCTTTGTCATCTGAGACAGTTTGTTGCTTGGGTAAACGTAGCCTACTTGCTTGTAGATTTGTCAATGTTTGCCTTGTGAACTTCTTGTGGGAGACTGATGATTTATTATATAGAACTGATAGAGCGCTGAAGAGGATGGAGGTGTCATCACAGGAGGGTTTCCAAAGAAGGGAGGGACGATGGGGCATACTTATTTTAACATGGGGTTGTCAAGTAGATATTGTATGGTTATATTTCTGTTTGATGATAAATCATATCTGTTTGATTTGATGATTAAAATGCTAGTTTGGAAATTGGTATTAAAACCGTCTTTGAAAAATACATACATTTCTGAATCTTCAAACCAACTCTAGGCTTAATTTCCCAATGTATTTTATAAGACCAATGATTAGTCCCTTGTTATTGAAATCTTCATGTTGATGTGTTAAGGGGTGTAGGTTATGGTTATTTAAGATTAATAATCTATGTTTTGGTTTTCTTCAGCCAACAATTTGTCCCCTGCTAAAATTGCCATCACAGTGGTGAGCATGGAGCACCAGGTAGGGACGGTCCCCGCACCCATCATTGTGCATCCCTGTTCACCAAGTCGCCGATCTATCCTAGACAAGCTGGAGTCACCACCAATGATGCAGATGAAGATCGCCAGTCCTCCAGAGTCGAGGATGGACAGGCGGTTGCTGTCAGATGGGAGGAATCTCGCCACATCTTCGCGACAAGGCAGGCGTCCACTTGTTAAGCAGTACAGTGTGGACATCGGTTCAGGGAACCATCTTCATGGTAGCGTCCCCTCCGTCTGGCAGACATTCGAGGACGAGGTGAAGAAGGCCCAGCCCAAGGGTTTCTCCCAGTCTCATCCCACTTTGCCCGTGAAGCAGGACTCACTGCAGCAATGTCCCGAGCCAGAGTTTGATTCCCCAAAACATCGCTTGTTGAAAAAACACATGCTGAGAAGCAGAAGTAGTGGTGCCAAGTATAGTCGGTTCAGGGACAAGTATCTCCCCAGAGCAGTATCCAGCTCGGACACAACGGGAACCGACACTGGGGCAAGTCCCTTGATACGGACCTCAACAACAAAAACATCAGAAACAAATATCACTCGCTCAAAGGATGAGCTGAAAACACAACAGAGTAGTGGTGAGACTGGTTCTGACTTGGATGATTCTTTAATCAACGATTGGGCGGAGTTGGAGGCTGCTTGTGACGAGGAGGTGATGAAAATTACGGGAGATGACGACGACGATGACGTCAGACCAACATTGACTTCATTGAACTCGTGTTCCTATGCATCTGAATGCCAAGAAGACAGTTACCCATTTGATTCATCGAATTCAAGTTCAAATTTAGTCCCAGACTCTGAAAAAGACTCGCCATTGACTGACAGTGAACAGATCGGTTGCCATTCCACTTTTAAGACAGAGGATGACCCGTTAGTGGGTATTGCCTCATTATCAGGGGTCCATATACAGATGCCTGACTTGACTACGTGCCAACCAGGCATTGATAATTCCAGTTTCGAACTGGGTGAGGGTTCGCTTAGTCCACCCAACGAGCCTTCCGTGTCTCAATGTACTGAAACTACGTTATGCGTTCCGAGGATCGTGCTAGATGGCGCCACTGTTGACACTCCTGACCTGTCCTCGGTGTCACATGACCGCGTTGGTGACAGGTCACATAGCAATGAACCTGAAATGTGCGAGCACAGCGGGAGCTATGAACATCATGAATATGTTTGACGAATGTCAGCTCCAATTTGTTTTTTTTGTGTGCCAGTTTTAGTGAGTGATTAATGTGTGAATTTGAAATACACATGGCATTATGTTTATGAAGATATATACATTCTTTCAAAACGATGGAGATTAACTCTGAAACAAGGTCGAAGGAGGAAGCAGTGTGCTATGTTCATTTGACGGTTCTGAAAATGATTATGTTTGATTCCGGTTTCAAGGTTGTATGACTGTCCTTGTACAAACAGTGTGATTTTTTTTTTGATTTTTTTTTTTGATGTTTAATTTCTTGGATGTGGATGTTGCATCAGTTCCGATGTGAAATGGACAATCGTATGTGTCATGTATAACCCTGATTGATGCCAGTGAAATTAACAATGTACAAGAAATATAAATTAAGTGTGGTTACAATCACGACATGTCTTTCAGCTGTCTCCCAATATTCGCACACACATTTGCAATTGATTACTTATGTGATTGATAGCAGACTTGTTAAAAACACTTGGTATTTCACCGTGTCTTTGTAATCCAATTATCCAAGAGTTGCAAACCTTAGCTGTGCCAGGATCTGCTGATCAGGGCTGAATCCCAAATTCACCCTAATTAGGATCCATAGTTTTTCAGCACCATACAGTGTTTTGGGTTTTACCCAAGTGGTAGCGGCCAATGACCTAACGGCTTTACGCCTTCATTAGACTGACACGCTGCAATATAAGTGAAATATTCAAAATGGATTTAAACCCAATTCACTCACTCACTTTGTAATTCAAATGTAGGGGTAAATTTAAATGTATAAATGTTACTTAAGCTCAGTTTTTTATATACAAAGCATTATGTCTCACAGGTATGTAGATATGGTTATGAGTGAGTGAGTGAGTATGGTTTTACGCCGCTTTTAGCAATATTCCGGCAATATCACGGCGGGGGACACCAGAAATGGGCTTTACACATTGTGCCCATGTGGGGAATCGAACCCGGGTCTTCGGCATGACGAGAAAACACTTTAACCACTTGGCTACCCCACCGCCCCAGATATGTTAATGACATTGTGATCATCTGAATGAAATTGACACTTAAATGTCAGCTATTGACAACTGTTTTGAACAAGTCTGTTGTGTTCTCATTAGAAATGCATCTTATAATGGCAACTTGTAATTATGTACATAAATATGAGCAATTCTGCCAAAACCACAAAATGAGGTTTTTGTAAGATTCATATTTATATGATACTGGATGATTTTTCTGATTTTCACCTGAAATTGATCTATATTTGGGAAAGATGTTTTCAATATTTTTTCCAATATATGGTAAAAATTTATGAGACATTTTCATCAAACCAGTTTCACCATAGCGCCTTGACTGCAAACTGATATTCCAATCACTATGGAAACTTAATGCAATCCAGAGTTATCAAAATCTAAAAATGGTTCAAAAATACAACATGCCTTTTTTCTTTCATGGACCTAACTGATAATTCAAATTCATATCAAATGTGAACGTACATTTTGATGCTAAACAGGAAATAAGTCACCTCCCTGAATAGGAAGCAAATCGTCAGAAAAATTGACCAGTATAGCTGCCCAATATTCATTTCACCAACACACTTATGAACAGATTATTTTTACACTCTATGTATAATGACATGTTTGTAACATATGTATATAGACGACATTATGCACGTCAGTTTCATTATCATCGGCCATTGTTACTCCCGGTCAATCTTTCACATTTCATTGACTCTTGATGCACGTCAAGTTTTTGAGCTTTTGTGACTTCTTTAATACTGTTACCAATTAATTTCATGCCTAAATTGTGTCAGCACAGATGTTTGCACAAACTTCAGATCTTGTAAACCACCGTAACTTACATTATATTATTGCATTCTTTTATATCATCAGATTTTCTGGCAAATAGCAGATGTATATACTGTCGTTAAGTTCACTAAGGGAATGATTGGCACTTGTGTCTCAGCAGTCTCTTGTAGTAGTGGCTTGTCAATGTGGAAGCTTACCTGTTATCTTATATAATGACCTAAGCAATTACTTCACATGCTGGATGAATGTCTAAAAAAACATATTTAATCAACTGAAAATGTGATAACACCAATGGGTTGGGGTAAATAAAACATGTTGTTTTTTCCTGGGAGAAAGAAATTCAGTGATAGGACTATTGAAGAATATTGACTCTGTGAGAGGACTACTACAAAAAATATTGATTTAGTGGTAGGACTTGTTGAAACTAATGATTCTATGGTAGGACAACTTGAAAGACATGAATCTATGGTAGGACTACTTGAAAGAAATGATTCTATGGTAGGACTACTTGAAAGAAATGATTCTATGGTAGGACAACTTGAAAGAAATGATTCTATGGTAGGACAACTTGAAAGAAATGATTCTATGGTAGGACTACTTGAAAAAATGATTCTATGGTAGGACTACTTGAAACTAATGATTCTATGGTAGGACTACATGGGAAAAAAATGATTCTATGGTAGTACAACTTGAAAGAAATGATTCTATGGAAGGACAACTTGAAAGAAATGATTCTTAGGTAGGACTACTTGAAAAAATGATTCTAAGGTAGGAATATTTGAAAAAATGATTCTATGGTATGACTACATGAAAAACATTATTATATCGTCTGGGTTAACCTTTTTTTTTTAAACATTCAGTTCCGTGAATTAGCTTTAAAAAAATATCCAGCAGGTATGGGTTTAATGTTGGTTTCAACTGAATTGTGGTAGGGTTTCTTAATTCAAATGGAAATGAATATGTTGGTAATCTAAATTCAAATGAACAAATCCTTCAATCTTTAATTGTCTTGTATGCACAGGACTCATCCTATTGTGGTATGAAAAGAGGAAATATGCAAGAGATTTAAATGTAAATTTTGTCAGTAAATTAGTTAAACTTCATTTTCTCTTCTTATTTTTTCTAACATTTTGTAATATTTTGATATATGTTACATATGGTTTTATTTGGCTTGAACACTTTCACATTAATCACTATCAAGCACTCACAGAGAAACTAGGGTAATACCTGAAAATATGTATAAACAATAACAGTCAAAGACTTGGAAACATGCCAGAAAAGATTTAGCAATATTGCAAGAATATTACAATAATTAATAACTATTTTGTAATGTGTGGCTTACAAGTCTGAATAACAACACCAATTATATTATTACTTCCACACTTCAGTAAATATTTCAATAATGTCTTTATGGAAAGTAATTTTGTAAAATTCCATTGGATATTCATTTTAGGGTTGTGAAGGGGCATAACTCTTCACATGAAAGGGAGCATAACTCTTCACATGAAAGGGAGACTATTTAATGACTTTGTCACAGTGTGGCGAGACAAAATATGTAGAAAAGATCATCTCTTGCTCTGTGAAACTGTATTTTAGGTATATACCCTGGTTCCAAACTGTTCACAATTTCCTATCACCTTTTTGCCTTGCAGAGTTTAATATGCATTTGTAAATTTCTACTTTGTCTACCTTGTTGTGTTGTGTGTATAAATGAGCTTTTAACCACTCTCTGTAGGGTAGTATAGCATAGACCTTTTTTTACACTTTATAAAATGATAAAAAGCTCAGTTTCACAAAGTATTTACATCTTAAAAGTTGATTTATGTAAAGTTTTCAAAATGGAATGTATGGTCCATTAGATACAAGAATGAAAAAGATGCAATATATATTTCAAGTTGCTTTGAACATCACAATGACATAAGTCATTTTATGATCCTCTATCAACACTTTCTATATTAAGTTATGGTTCAACGTCTGTATAAAATCATATTGCTCCATCCTACTCGATAAATTCTTTATTGAGTGTACCGAGACACAAGGAATTTGGAAGTCTTCTTTGGAGAATTTGACATATCTTTTCATATTAATATTTGAATTTGTTAAATTTCCAGTTGATTATTACAAGTTTCTTTGCAAATTTACCTTATTGAAAAAAGATATTGTATATATTAAAACCTGTAAGAAATATTTGTTTTTTTAATTGGAATTTCCTATAGGTATGATATATCTACTGTTAGATAATATGGTAGATGAAAGATGATATTTATATACATATACATTATTTATGGTACCAAAGTACAATATGTCTGGTTTCGGGACTTTTGGTATTTCACTGAATGGACAGAAATGTCCACTATTTTATCAATTGAATTAATGTTCCCATGCACTAGGACACTTATTTATTGTTTGTTGATCTGACCATTATTTACTGTTCACATGTTGACTTTATGAATGGAAGTAAAATGTCCACTGTGTCCCTTTCCCTTTAAGATCTTTTTAATTTAAATGGTAATGGGTTAATCAAGAGTTATCCACAATCATTAACTTAATAAGATCCAAATTTTGGATATTTCTGACCATATGAATCGTACATGAAATTTTCATTAATTCCATTTTGAAAATGTTGACTTATGATTAATGTAGAGAAATATGAATAGTGGACCTTTTATTTCAATGTTTTTACTTTTACACCACTTTTTAAGCCTTGAAGACACCATGTGATATGTTGACGAGTGCAATATTGTTTTTAACTTATTGGATGAAAAGTGAGTTGTCTCCCCTTTGATTGCTTGAGTCAAGTCCCTCAAAAACCACTGTCTGCAAACTCAAATTTAAACTGTACATAATCAAACAGTTATTGGTTACTAATTATTTCATCCATGGAGCAAATTACATTGTGAACACACACAATGGACTTTAGCCTTGGAGAAGAGTGCTCCTTTTCAGAGTGATGTAGAATTTCACTATTATTAGCTAAGTAATTTTAAGACTTCTGAAATAGACTGCTTCAGAAAACACTTTCAGATAAAATACCATTTCTAGAGAGAGAAGGGTTTTGGTGTTATATTTTTACAACAGCTTCTGACAAAATAAAACTCAATCCTATATGCTGCTTGTGCATTAAGAGTCACTCAGCTCCTGTAAAATGCGGATTTCATTGCTTTTATTTCAATATGACTGATATAGATAACTCAGTTATCAAAATCTGTGTATGACAAATATTCCTCTCAAGGTAAAGAAAAACTCATGGAGAATAAATGTAATCACTTGAGGGGTTCCAGGGGAGACAACTGTTGTGTTACACAGCTCATTTGTGATAGTTCCTTCATTAATTGTAGATACACAGCAGGAGAAAACACCAAGCTTTTATTGATTTGTTTGTTATTTATTTATTTATTTATTTATTTATTTATCTATTTACACATTAATCATTTAAGTTAAAAACCTTTCTTTTTTTTCATGACACATTTTCATGATATAATAAAATTCCTGTTTTCTAATGTTCAATTATTTATCAAGATTATAAACTGCTCAATACTAACATCATTACAAGGCAAACAAATTGTCATGTATGAGAATCAAGTGAGCATTACCTACACATTTTTAGTTACCCATTATTATAACTTTGATAATTTCCTTGACTACCATCTACCATGGCTTTAAGGGATTTATGTATGTCATTGTTCTCAAATTCACAAATCTATTTATTTTGTTTCTAATTTATTTATTATTGTGTTAATTTTCACACATTAGGTGTGTAGTGTTCGCTCAACATTTTAGCTTTGGTTTGGGAGAATGACGACAAGCTCACAGAGACCCGGTACCAAGATCCATGTTTTCTGTGATAGTCTTAATAAGCCAAAACTAATAACATGAAATATTTGGGTTCTCTTAACATGAATTTAAGAATATTTTGAGAAAAAAAATTCAGATATATAAATGAGGAATTCTCAATGTTATCATAAAGAAAAAGTGTTTCTGGAAATAAATAACTGGATTCCAATTGGTCATGAGGATATCCGTTATCACAAATGGGCTTATCAAGACTTGAAAACTATGAGCTTGCTGTCTGATAAATTTTTGCAACATATCAGTGTATTTTCTTATTTTGTGATTCCCATGCAAGCGACACGCCCAATCCCCTGACAGCCACGGTGACAGCACTCCTGCGCTGGGGGTCATGTAAGTGTGTAAGTGTGTGTGTACGTATGTATGTATTTTGATATAGTTCACTTCTTGCTCCAACTGATGAGTCACCCCTTCAAACTACATCATTCAGGGAGTAACAGTTTTATATGAGAAATTAATAAAAAATGGGATTGAAATAAGGCCTTTGTTGTTTCTGTGCCGAGTGATGGGTACAGTATGAGTGAGTGAGTCTGATTTTACGCCCCTTTTAGCAATATTCCAGCAATATCACGGCGGGGATCACCAGAAATGGGCTTCACACATTGTACCCATGTCAGGAATCGAACCCGGGTCTTCGGCGTGATGAGCGAACGCTTTAACCACTAGGCTACCCGACCGCCCCGGTACAGTATGAACAGTATGGTGAGATGGCAAGTATCATATACATGTTTAAGGATAAAGTGTTCTTATGAGACAGGACTTGCTACAAAACAAACTAATTTAAATCTTTATTCTCTTGGTTTACACTGCACGGGTGCCCAGTTGTCTAAGGTGCCGCAATTCACTGTGAAGAGTTACGCATCTTTTACCGTATATGACCGTAGATAAGCCGAGGTATTAACTTGACCATTGAAATATGAAAGAAAATGATATGACCCGCAGATAAGCCAAACCAGGAAGTGAAAGGCAAAAAATATTGCGAAGTTGGACTGCAAGACATGTGCCGGTACTCTCAGATATTCAATAATATAAGATGAAAAACATTGTAATTATATTGAAAAAGTCATTATTATTTCTAATAAAGATTTAACAAACCAGTATGTGCCAGAAACTTATGGCTGGCTGGGTTTGAGTCCCGGTTCACCCCAATTATGTTTCTAGGTTTGTCGGGGGCAGTGGCGCAGCCGAGTGGTTAAAGTGTTCTCATGTCATGCCGAAGGCCCAGGTTCGATTCCGAACATGGGTACAATGAGTGAAGTCCATTTCTGGTGTGCCCCCATCGTGATATTGCTGGAATATTGCTAAAAGTGGCGTAAAACCATACTCAACAATCAATTTAGTTTTGTCAACACTATACCCATGTTCATGGGTTTCACCAAAGTGGTAAACATCCTAGACCTGCATCACTTCCGGCTTTCCTCCCTCATTAAGCGGACACGCAGTGATGTAACTGGAATACTGTTCAAAGATGCATTAAAATCAACTCACGCTATGGTTTAACACTGCGCAAGTGGCCCAGTCGGTGTGCCACAATGAATTATATAGAGTTGCATCCCTCAGGTTTGCCCCGAATCCTCTAATCATGGGTTCTAATTGCAGATATGCCCTGATGTTTCCCTGTTTGTCAGCATAACACCCATGCTAAAATATTTCAGCAAAGTGATAACCGTCTAAGACTTAGAGCTTTCCTCAGACATGAGCTGACATGCTGTGATATAACTGAAATATTGTGTACCCTAACAAAACCCTACTCACACTGGTTTAACCTCTTCTTTCATGGGGGCGGTGGGGTAGCCGAGTTCAATTCCCTACATGGGTACAATGTGTGAAGCCCATTTCTGATGTTCCCCCGCCGTGATATTGCTGGAATATTGCTAAATGCAGTGTAAAACCATACTCCCTCACTCACTCTACTTTCATGTGTAAAAGGCACCTGACCTCAGATGAGAAGTCCAATGGTTCGAATCCCGGATCTCAACAGGGGGTTCGAACATTTTACGGTGCCCAATGGCCGGCTAATATCACATTAATGTTTCTCAATAAATTATTGTGACATTTTCATTGGCATTTATTTATATATATTTCAGGGGAGCATATCTTTCAGGTTTGTTTGGTAGAGAATTATGTTTTGTTTGTTGTTTAATGCCGCACTCAGCAATATTGCTGCTATATCACATTGGTCTGTAAATATTCGAGCCTGGACCAGACCATTCAGTGATTGACATCATGAGCATCGATCTACACAACTGAGATGCGATGACATGCGTCAACCAAGGCAGCGAAGCTGACCACCTGATCCCGTCAGTCACCTATAACGAAAAGCATGGTCACCTTTTACAGCAAGCATGGGTTGCTGAAGACCTATTCTACCCCGGAATTTCACTGATAAGATAATGATGTATATGTGACTGTTCATTTCTACCCAGGAGAAGTAAGGTTTTTCTTACTTCCATACATCTGGTTATGAAAATAGATTGGGGAGGGAGAGCAGAGGTAGCCTAATGTGCCTCTTCACCCAGCAGTGAATGGGTACCTGGTAGGATGAGATTGACATGGGGTTGTAACCTTCTAGCCCCTAAGATGAAGCTTGGGTTGTATACTCCCAAGGGAGCTGAGAATGATTGTTTAGTGCACACTGATCCAGTGACCATGGTACTTTAAGCATTCCCCTGGGTAGCATGGAAATATGCACAATATAAATGGACTATTATTATGCGTAATATATTGCATCATACTCATACAAATTAAGAATGGATGCAAATAATGTCCACTAAGAGTCCCATTGGACACATAAGAGTATGGATAGTGAAATGATTGTTTGTTTGTTTGTTGTTTAACTCCGCACGCAATATTCCAGCTATATGACAGCTGTCTGTAAAATAATCGAGTCTGGACCAGACAATCCAGTGATTGACATCAAGAGCATCGATCTACGCTATTGGGATCGATGACATGTATCAACCAAGTCAGCAAGCCTCACCACCCGATCCCGTTAGTCGCCTTTTACGGCAAGTATGGGTTGCTGAAGACCTATTCTACCCCGGAATCTTCACGGGTCTTGAAATGATTGAGGGATATTGGAATGATTGGTGCTGATTAAATTGAAGCTATGATTGTTTACATTTCTGTTTGGATGAGAATGTTGGACAGTCCATGTCAGATTTTCCTCAAGTTTAAATTCCAACAAGAAAATCCTTTTTATAATAAGCAGATGGCATCACACACACACTTTGTAGTTTATTTGCTGTTGATGCAGTGATCACTCAGGGGCCACAGCATTTACTATCGAGAGTTGCAAATATATACACTAAGGTAAAGCCTGGATATATCTGGAAAGTTGCTGCGGAAGTCTGTACACACTCACTCATTTAAATGGGGTTTTTAATGTTCATTTGAACTTTGCTCATTTTATAGTTATTTTGTAACAAACATATTTGGATTTTCCATATTTATAGCTCTTGCTTGTTCTTTGTAACATAACCTGGGACAATTTGATTGCGTTTTTCGTAATTGCAGGAGTGATTGTTCATGAGATTTTACTGGGGCTTCGAATATATCTCAATTCGGAAGTGCCTCACGTCTATTTCTTTGACAGTGGCTGTTACATGCAGATGTAACTGTCGTATAGAATGTTTGCCACAAGTTTTGTTTGTTTGTTTGTTGTTTAACGGCGCACTCAGCAATATTCCAGCTATATGACGGCGGTCTGTAAATAATCGAGTCTGGACCAGACAATCCAGTGATTGACATCATGAGCATCGATCCACGCAATTGGGATCGATGACATGCATCAACCAAGTCAGCGAGCCTGACCACCCGCTCCCGTTAGTCGCCTTTTACAGCAAGCATGGGTTGCTGAAGACCTCTTCTACCCCGGATCTTTTGGTTGGTGACATGTCATGGTATCCCAACTGAGCAATTCGATGCACACGAGTTCAATTAGTGCATTGTCGGGTCCAGACTCGAGTTTTACAGACTGCCGTCATATAACTGGGATATTGTTGAGTGAGGCGTTTAACAACAAACACTTTGGGTCATGCCTAGCCTTGCTCCAAGGCTGTACTGAAATATAAGTCAATGGATGTGTGGTAATTATATCCTAATATTAGGCAAGGTTAGAGAGGCGGACAGTACAATTCACATCCTTTGCTTTACCCTAAATACACTTGGCAACAACATATGGTCCACTGATCCTCGGGCCATTTGAAGGGCGCCAGTCTTTTATGGGGACAACTTGTTCTTATTATTTATGAAAAGCACGATGGCTTATGTCCAACAGTAACAACGTTCCTAAAATAGAATCATACCCATATTCTAGGAAATCACATCAACAATTAGACCGTGTTAACGCCTTGCATTCAACACTATCACTGATATGTTAACATACCCAAAATAGCTTTGATTTATACAGCACTTCGAGCGGTGTGAACTAAAATATTGACCTCTCTCAGTCTAAAGCTTTATACCATTTACGATAGTCTGTAATTACCAACCTATCGAATACACAGTCCTAACACCTGCATGGCGAGATCGCCATACCACACATGTCTCGCGCTGTTCACACGGCCCTAAAGCCACCACGTCAATGCGGCGCGATAAAACTTAGCTTACTGAGTAAAATGTGTTTGGCATTTTATAGTAATCATTATTCCATTACTGAACAAACTTCCCTATCTCAAAGCCATCATGTATGCGTAATAATCGCGGGATCAAATACATTAGTAATTCGATAAAGGGTCGGGCAAACAAGATAGCTATAGGCTTGTGTATCAATTGTTATTTAGCGCGTGATAAAAAGATTTTCACGCCCTGAGCGCGATAAATACACAAGCCATTATCCGAGCCTCAATACTTGAGATTGAATAGACAGTTCAATGATCTAGTTTACAAACTCAATGTCGGGGACGGTTCTGGCTGACCTCGAGAAAGTGTTTTCCACATGCATTATCTACCATGAAACTGCCCCTTTCACTGCTTACAAATACAGTAATCCAAAAGAAGACGATTTACATATATCAGCAAATTGTTTTCATTTAAGACCCAGAGTCTCAGACTCGTGTAAAAAGATGCACCAAACAAACGCTTACAAGATAAATTGGATAATTTGGGGTCACCATTTCGACTGTCACTGTAAATCAGCAAAGCGGCCGTAAAATCTAATGAGCAGCGTTGTTTGGCGAGTTGAAGGCGGGGTTTGTATGCTAGTGGTGAGTGAGTTGGGTTTAACGCCTCTTTTAACAGTATTCCAGTTATATCACGGCGTGTCAGCTTAATGTGGGAGGAAAGCCCGAAGTGATGCAGGTCTCAGAAGTTTACCACTTCGATGAAACATAACGAGCACGGGTGCTGACAAACCTAGAAACATAATCGGGCCGAACCGGGATTCGAACCCACAATCATAGATTTCTGGCGTATCGAAGGGACGCAACTCTGCACAGCGAATCGCGGCGCCTTAGACGACTGGGCCTCCCGTGCCCTATGTATGCCAGTATCTCGAAGCATATGGTTACCGCGAAACATACAAACATGCAAAAAGTCATTTGCAGATTGCTAGATGTATTTATGCTCTGCATGTGACGGCGCGCTTACTATTACAGAAATTTGTCTCAAATGACTCGACAGAGGATTTACACGTCAACGCTAGAATGCAACGTGTTTTATATTTTCACTTATTTAGTCATTAGTCGTGTCTTGTCGCTTGTACAAACCTTGAACACACTACCAGAAGTCTTTACCTGCCAAGAAATGGTTGCACATCCTACGTATAGAAAAATAGAGGTTATCACGTAAGTGTGATTTGGGGTGGTATATATTGTTTATTCCTAACACAGGAAATTCCATCCAAAAACACACATCGCCAAAATATTGCATGTTTTCCTGGAACATGCGCATTAATATATATTACGTGATAAGGTCAGTGACTTGTCAGTCCGACAGTGCCGACAGTCAACATAGTTCCAGCTGAAACCAGTTTCTTATATAGTGGCTACTACATATAGGCAAAATAACAATTGCCTACACATAATATTGTTTCTAGTTCCCTTTTGCGGCAATCCATCGGTCCGCCCGCTAGAGTAACTGTCTTTTACCCGCGTATCACATAGCTGGAATCATATGAGAGCAATACACCAACTGTAATTAATATGAGTATAGTACAGTGTGGTTTGGTTCGGTGTGGAAACCTGATCACCAGTTCTCATCTGGATTCAACCATCTTGGTATGACTGTCACGTTTTGTCACGATCATCTCATGTCTCGAACAGAGGGGAACCTCTATACAACAGACCATTCGGTTTCATCAAAATCAGCCGAATTATCGGATGTAGGACTTACGGGGTGTTGTATAGAGTAAATAAGTCACATTGTAATGCTTTAACTGCAAGGTTTTAAGGTCAGCTGTATCCAGGCCGCAAGTGTGCATCGTAAATTGGTGTCGTCATGCAAAGGCAAATATATTATTTCAACAAATCATTCCTTGCAAGTCGTGTCTCATCTGCCGCTGTGTGTCTCCATGGAAAGAATATGGGCTCGAAAACAGTATGTCATGTGTATGATGAAATAGAAAAAACCCGAAATCGAAGCAATGTATAGAAGAAATAGAAGAAAAGTTAACTTTGCATTGGTAATTCTTCATATATTTACAAAATAAATGTGCGAGTACCTGCATGATTATAACGCTGAAGAATATTCTAGTTCTGGCATGACAGTTTGTCTTGGTAACACAAAGTAGAGGTTGATACTGTGTGTGTGTGTGTGAGAGAGAGAGAGAGAGAGAGAGAGAGAGAGAGAGAGAGAGAGAGAGAGAGAGAGCGAGAGCGTGTGTGTGTGTCAGAGTGCGTTGAAACGTCTTCAACCAAGTCACAAAGTCTGACCACTCGATCTTTTTTAAGTCACCTCTTATGCAGCATAAACTGCTCAGGGCCTTTTCTAACGCTATCCAAAACTGAGTGAGTGCACTGGCATATAATAGGGAAGGTCAGTTTTCCATGTTCTATAACGCCACACTTGTCCTTCTGTTGTAGATGTTGTGAGTGAGATGCGTTTTGCAATATTCCAGCTCTATCACAACAGGAGATGCCAGAAGTGCATGTGCTTCACACGTTGTACACATGTGGGGAATCGAACACGGGCTTTGAGCATGACGAGCGACCGCTTTGACCACACGACTACCCCCCAACTTTATTTCTTCAACTACCACCTCCCACTCTTTAAGCATTTGTTCTTTTGTAACTGTACTTTATCTGCATATATCTTTCCTGTTTGCCCCGTTCTCTCTCCATGCAACTAGAAGTCTTTATCTGATGTTTTCTTTCAATCACTATAAATCCCTGACCTTTAACATATGAACAACCCGTCTTTCCCCCTGTTTATTTGCATATCTCTCTCTTGGTTTATTCTCACTTGAAGTGCGCCTTTGTCTCATGACCTGTCTGTGGATACAAATAGGACACCCCCACCCACACTGACAACACGGTACTTGGCTATATGTTCATGACTCCCTTTTCTTCTTCTGTATATGTTTCATCCTCTGGTTGTCGTGTTCCTACTGTTACTTCATCTGAGGCTGTCGTGTTCCTCCCGCCTCTTCCTCAGGTTGCAGTGTTCATCCGACCTCTTCCTCTGCCATGTTCCTCGTGACTCTTCCTCTGCTTGTGTTCTTCCTGACATCCTCTGCTTGTGTTCTTCCTGACTCATCCTCTCTGTCGAGTTCTTCCCGCCTCTTCCACTGGTTCCCCTTGTCTCTTCCTCTGTCTGTCGTGTTCCTCCCGCCTCTTCCTCTGGTTGTCATGTTCATCCGACCTCTTTCTTTAGCTGTAATGTTCTTCCTGACTCATCCTCTCTGTCGAATTCTTCCCGCCTCTTCCTCTTACTGTCGGGTTCCACCTGCCTCTTCCTCTGTCTGTCATGTTCTTCCTGCTTCTTCTTCTTCTGTTTGTCGTGTTCTTCCTGCTGGCTTCGTCCTGTCTGTCGTGTTTTTCCTGTCTCTTGCTCTGGCTGCCATGTTCTTCCTGCCTATTCCTCTTGCTGCCGTGTTCCTCCTGCCTATTTGGGTAAGGTGTTCCTCTCGTATTGGACTCTGGTTATTATGTTCTTCGTTTTCTGTTCTGTTTATACGTCAGGTCGAGGACCCGGGTTCAATTCCCCCAGCGGCCTCCTCTGTCTCCCGTGTTTCTCCTGCCACTTCCTCTAGCTGCGGTGTTCCTCTTGCCTCTTCCTCTGGTTGACATGTTCCTCGTGGCTCTTCCTTTAGCTGAAGTGTTCTGCATGTCCCTTCCCCTGGCTGACATGTTCTTCCTGCTTATTCCTTTGTCATGTTATTCCTGCCTCTTCCTCTGTTTGCCTTGTTTTTCCTGCCACTTCCTTTAGCTGCGGTGTTCCTCCTGCCTCTTCCTCTGGTTGGCATGTTCCTCCTGTCGCTTCCTTTAGCTGTAGTGTTCTGTCTGACTCTTCCTCTGTCTGCCATGTTCTTCCTCTGTCTGTCGTGTTCTTCCTGAATCTTCCTCTGTCTGTCGTGTTCTTCCTGTCTCTTCCTTTGCTTGTCGTGTTCTTCCTGCCTCTGCCTCTAGCTGCCGTGTTCCTTCTGCCTCTTCCTCTGGTTGGCATGTTCCTTCTGCCTCTTCCTCTGGTTGGCTTGTTCCTCCTGCATGTTCCTCAGGCCGCCATATTCTTCTTGCCTCTTCCTCCAGCTGCCCTGTTCCTCCTGCCTCCTTCTTCTGTCTGTCGTGTTCCTCCTGCCTCTTCCTCTGGCTGTCGGGTTCCCTCTGCCTCTTCCTCTGTGTGTTCTTCCTCTGTCTGTCGTGTTCCTCCTGCCTCTTCCTCTGGATGTCGGGTTCCCCCTGCCTCTTCTTCTGTGAATTCTTCCTCTGTCTGTCGTGTTCTTCCTGCCTCTTCCTCTGGTTGTCGGGTTCCCCCTGCCTCTTCCTCTGTCTGTCGTGTCGGGTTCCCCCTGCCTCTTCCTCTGCCTGTCGTGTCGGGTTCCCCCTGCCTCTTCCTCTGTCTGTCGTGTACCTCCTCCTTCCTCTGGCTGGCATGTTTCTCTTGCCTTTTCCTCTGTCTGTCGAGTTCTTCCTGTCTCTTCCTCTGTCTGCCGTGTTCTTCGTGTCTCTTCCTCTGTCTGTCGTGTTCTTCCTGCTTCTTCCTTTGCTTGTCGTGTTCTTCCTGCCTCTTCCTCTTGCTGCCGTGTTCCTCCTGCCTGCCTGGGTAAGGTGTTCCTCTCCCTCTGGCCTCTGGTTATTATGTTCCCCTTTTTCTGTACTGTTTATACGTCAGGTCGAGGACCCGGGTTCAATGCCTCAGCGACGTCACATTGCTGATAACGGTGAAAGACAATATTCACCTGTACATTCCTTTGACTGTCGTTTTTCTATTTCTCAAACTTTTTCCTCTTCTCTTCTCAAATTCTTTTCATCCTTCTTTTCCGATGTCTCCCCATCTCTCTCCTGCGTCGGTGGTACTTTCAATGATTCACCCCTACCGGATAATTATTCCATCTATTTTGTGACTATAAACATTCTTTCTTTGATGTAGGAAAGTCGAGCGACCCGAATGTTTACCGATTTATCTACATCTAGTATCCAACTTCAGTCAGGCTCCGGACGAACTGCCAAGAACAATAGACATAGGACTCCCAACTTATCTGCGTCACAGATACAGCTACCAGATCAATCATGCCAAATCAGAAACAGTAGATCATCACTGCACGAGCTTTTCGTTCTCATCCTCACGTGCAAGATACGAAGAAATTGGACACGCAATTTCTTTCTTACTTTTGATATCGGTATTCGGATTTTATCTTCATTGGACTATTTCTTCTTGTGTTCCAAAACACATTGCTATCATGTCAAGGGCTGGGTTTCACTTTAGTTTGATAGTGTCTACACGCGAGAGCAGACGACAATTTGTTCCGACCTTCACGATGAATGGATTTGTCGGAACAGGAGATAACTTTATCACTGGATCCTGAGAAAGGTGTCTTGAGTTCATAGTCCGGTTTTGGGTGGAGCTAATAAACATACAAAAGTACAAAAGCCCCTGACAAAATGGTATTTTCTCTATCCAACATGTTGTTTTCATGAAGGAAAATAATGGGTTTTGATGCAAAAGTACACAGTTTTAGTATATATGCTGTTATTTAGCGTGCATTTTAAATGCATAAGAAAAATACTTTTTATTTTTTATGTCAACGAAATGAGCATTATTAATTTACAAGCACTATGTTATCTGAAGACATTGAATATATAGTTTTGAACAGCTGGTACCGAAATAATATTTAAAAAAAAAGATTCTGAAGAAAAACACTTTCTGCATATATGCTATAATTATATCTGAATAACGATGAAAATAGAAAATAGTTGTGAGAGACATTTAACACTTCACATGACTTGATGCATTTTGTTATCGCACACGCTATCACGTTTCTCCGCATGTTACATATATTTTATGTATATGTATATATATCCTACTCAAAAGAAGTTAAGGATCACCTGATTCTTCCATATTACAATAGTTAATCTCTCATGCCATGACAGATTAACATTACCAATATGAAAGAATTGGGTGATCCTTAACTTCTTTTGAGTAGTATATAAAGATGTTTTTAAAAAGTAGGTTCATTGACCCTATGTAGAGAGAGAGCCGGGTGGGTGTTGCGCTGAGTCACACCCAGCATGTGGCCTATATATTGCTGCTGTGGTATTGAGAAGGATGTGTACTTCACACTATACAATTACCCTTACGCCATACTCATTAATTTCTGACAGGTCGGTGTCAATAAGCTGTCAATATACAGCCTCCTGGTAAGTCACTGTCAGGCAATCATCACCCGATGTAATGCTATAATTGGGGTCACACCCACCATATACCATATACATGTTTAGTAAGATCACAACTACATTGCCACATTGTAATCTTTATTGAGATAAAAACTACATTGTTTGTCTTGTTTAATGAGGTCACCACTACCAGTATTTTATATTGAAATATTGATTGAGATCACACCAATTTTAAATTGTAATGATTATTGAGATCACACCTACCTTATATTGTAATGTTTGAGATAACACCTATCTCATATTGTAATGTTTACTGAGTTCCAAATGTGATAAATGGCTGTAATATCTAATGAGATCACACACAGTTAGTTTACATATACAGGCAGAGTCTAGTAAGTCATTTGGGAAGTAATTTGTCACTAACAAATAATCCTAAAAAATAATTATACAAGCAATTTTATCCCTAATACTGCGTGTATAAATACTCTTCCTATTTCTTTCAGAAATAGATCAAAAACACTATAAATAGTCCCATTTCGCTTTATCGACTATCTGATTGTGGAAATATTTTTCATCGTGCGTGCTTGCGGGAAGTGTAAATCGCATCTTATGTGTCAGTTGAAATGTTATCAACGCGATCTAACCATCCAGCTTGTGTGTGCCTTTCTAATGTACACTACTCTTGAAAAGTATCGCGTGGCTTCAAGAAAAAAACGCTTGGATTTATAGAAGACGAAAACCAGCGTTCTTTGCGTTTGGGGATAGCACATATCATATCTTATTTCAGAACATAAACAGACGTGACATGATCTAAAATCTTCCCATTTCATTATCGGTGGGCGTTTTCCTTAAGGCGATGCTCTAACTCAAAGCCATTGTCGGTCAAAAACGATTCGGAAAGTGTACATAAAGTGGGCGTGGCACGTTTTCACACAAGTACGGCTCCATCTGCTGTTATCAAATGAATGATGCCATATTGTGTGACCTCTGACCATGTAGACGAAGTGAGATAAAGTTACTGTGAGTTATGAAATGGAATCAGTCAATTAACTAAGCGCAGCGCGACGGTCGTGTTCTGGCTAAATAGAGACAGTTGACTGATCCCGTCTGTGTTTTCTTATGAACACGTGATCCTGAGGCGGGCGCGTGCTCCAGGTAACTGAATGTAACGGAAACGCTGATTGGTCCCTTTGCCACGCTTGCGCACAAGTACCCTTGGGAATATACAAGGGACACATTCGTACAGGTGCGAAGTGTGAAATAGGTAAACTTAATTTCTTTTCACAAATGAGTGAAAATGAAAACTTTTTATTGTGATTCTGACTGGATTATGTGAAGTCCATCTGTGGATTTTGTTTTACAAGTTATTGTGATATTTCTGGAGGTTTTTACCCGAGTTGGCGGCGGTCCGACGACCGACATGTCATGCATGATCACTGTTGAAGCGACGAGACTCCCTCCGATAATCTGAATGAAAAAATAAAATCAACAAGCTGGAAATGGGGAAGGACCTAGATATAATACAAGCTGTTAAAGAGCAGGATATAAGCTCTCTACAGAAACTGCTCCAGAAGGCCGGGAAACTCGCTCATAAAAACAGTAAGTCACTTTACTATCAGCTCAACATGTGTTGATCTATTTATAGTCATGCTCATCTACACTATTTTGCTGTTCAGGGTTTTGACTACCAGCTTGTCAAAGCTGGCCAGTTGTCATCGCAAGGGTTGTCACAACTTAGATATATTTTGATGTACCCTCTGTAACCACCCTGTCGAACTTTTACACTCTGTGTGAACTTTGTAATTCTCATCAGCTGTCAACACCAATCAAATTTTCTAGTCATGATGCAATTGACACAGATAGCAACCCCTCTGCACTATTAATCATCACAGACGAGTGTTTTTACACGTCGCATATTGATTAGGCTGTTTGTTTAATCAGTTCAGTGATTCACGTCACCTATGAGATAAATAGTTAGAACTGCTGCAACAGGCAAAGTGAGTTTCAAGTCCTTTTGAGATGTTTGACAAAACATGCCATGTTAATGTTTTTAAATTTATTAGTGCATATCAAGCAGGTGTGAAAAGAAAACATGACTTTGTATTATTCCTGTTGTGATATTAATACCTTTAACGTCCCAAAGTGACCGATGCACTTGACGCATTATTGCTAAGATAGGGAGATATTTTAGTGCAAAATAAACAGAACTGGCCGAACCCTCCATCTTTGATTCCTGTATTCCCTGGATACTATCATCAGCTGTTAAGCTTGAAGCCTGGTATGAAACCTTGTCACTGTTAAAATCTGTAAGACAAGGCTCATTTATCAAATAGATTTATGAGGTATTGTTTTATTGTTTTATTGTTGATAGTGTTAGTGGGATTATTTGTTAGTTTGCTTTGACCTGAGTCCATTTGACCCATTTTAATTACACTGTATACTAGTACTGTACAGTGTACATAACACAAACTCTAGAGAATAAATATGTATTTGGAAATATATTTCATTATAGATCTATTGAAGTTGTACTTTATGTACTAAAATGAAGTAATAGAAACCATCTGTATCACAGTTGCTGCAATTATAAAAATACACATTGTGTAAATTATTTTTAGTTATGGTGGCATATAATTATCTTAATCTATTATATAAGAAGCTCATTGTATGTAGAGTTAAGTGCAGAACTCTGGAATGGATATTTGTTTCAGTGCTTTTTTAAATGATCATGCTTGCAATGTTTCGATACGTGTAGAACATTTCTGCACTGTCCTCAGCTTTTCTTGCTCAGATAATCTAAGCCACACATCTGCGATGACAGAAAACATTACAGACTGTCTAGGTATGTCTGGTGATGATAAATACGGATGTATTTATCTGCTACAACTGATTTACTCCACAATGATTAGCTAGTGCATCTGGGGGACAACAAGTACATATCACATGGAAAATCTCGCACTAGTGTTACTTTATGACAAATCTATGACTGATGATATGTATTGTAATCATAGTGATCAAACAATTTCTTCTCGCTTCTTAAAATAGTGTGAAGACATGAGGAAGGTTTGTTATCTCATGAAAAAACAGATGTTTGTGTTTTGCCTCATATTATGCCAGCTGTTTTTGAATACCTTGTATAGATTATACATGGTAGGAAAGGTATCATGTTCGTTTTTTCTCACAGGGAATGTGGACTTCTTATGCTGACTAACATGATACTGAGTGTATGTTTGTTTGCTTTGTGAAGTTGGGATTATGTATGGGCGGACAATTCTCTTGAGTGAAGCAAGTGTAAATAAAAAAAGATAATTACAATTAATTGCAGATGTAAAGCAGAATGCAGTTAATTATAGGTGAATCATTTATCTCCTTGTGGCACGATTACTTAGTCAAACAGAGAATTCCTTCAGACAATATTTCTTTGCAGACTTATAGTGCAATATATATGAATTCATTGATATGTCAGGCTCGCTGACTTGGTTGATGCATGTCATCGATCTCAATTGCATGGATCGATGCTCATGATATTAATCACTGGATTGTCTGGTCCAGACTCGATTATTTACAGACCACCGTCATATAGCTGGAATATTGCTTAGTGCGGTGTTAAACAACAAACCAACCAATCAAATCATTGATATGCTTGAGAACGTTCATGGGAATAAAAATATATGTTCTTTAACACACTAACAAGTGACTTATCAGGAATGGAACAACTAGACATTTTTTAATAATTCCATTGGTCCTTTGGGGCTTTATGTTGTTTGAATATATGATTTATATTTCTTGTAATCGTTTGAAAGGCGTAACAGCTGATTAGATTGACATATCTGATAACTGAATTCAGGCATATATTAGCTATTTTCCTCGTTCCCAGTTGTCAATGCACAAAACGCTATAGTGTTGGCTATGCACAAAATCATAAAGTGTCCAAGATTAGTGAAAATATTCTGGGACTAGTCGATTTCTTCTAAAATCTATCTATTTTACATGAAATACTAGTCTGAAATGAGCTACAGACTGGTTGGATTTGTCTGATAGTGTCTACCCCTGAACTACATTCAGATATCATGATGTCAGGCGGAATAGCTTGTAACTGGCAAGTAAGTCAGTAAGTTATCAAATGTGTGGGGTAGTTACCTGCAGAGAGGCGTATCTTGTGGTTAAAGCATTTGTTCGTCATGCCCAAGACCTGGGTTTGATTCCCACATGGGTAAAATGTGTGAAGCCCATATCTGGTGTCCCCCATCATGATATTGTTCTTCAGTCATTCACTCACTCTTTGCTTAGAAATTACCTGTACAAATAGAGTTGTGCTGGCATGGTGGGGTAGCCTAGTCGTTAAAGTGTTAATAAAGGCCTGGGTTTGATTTTCCAACATGGGTACATTATGTGGTGTCCCCCACTTTGATGTTGCTGGAATAAGAAAGCAGTATACAAACTCACTCACTCACTCACTCACTCACTCACTCACTCACTCACTCACTCACTCACTCACTCACTCACTCAGCTGCTGATGGGTAAAGCCTCAATTTTGGACATTGTATTATCTTTATCCAATATTTGTATAAAGTATTAAATCTGCTCCCTTGTTAGTGTATACACCAACACTTTATGATTTTGTGCATAAGCAACACTAACATTTTGTGCCTTGACAACTGGGAACAAGGAAAATGGTTAATTTATGCCTGAATTCAGTATCAGATATGTCAATCTAATCAGCTGTTACGCGTTTCAGGAAGATTACCAGAAAAATAAATTATATATTTAAACAAGATAAAGCCCCCAAGGATTTGTGGACTTATTTAAAAAATTTATAGTCTTCATTCTGACCCAAGGGTAAACCTTGAAACAAATCACGATGAATGATTTTTGAAGATTTTTGAAATATGGATGCATCTGAATACAAAGATGGATGATGGAGAGGGCTGGTGTCATGACAAAGATGGTTAGGGGCTTGATAGATGTGAGAATTGAATACATAGCATATATATATGTGCATGTTTAGCATACAAGGGACTGTTTTACAGCTGTTTTACATGTACTATAGCTTTAAGCCAGTAATACATACTGTGTGGTGGCTTGATCTTTTAGGCAGGGGAATACCCTTTGGCATTTTGTAATCATTTGTGAGTAACATTCCCCCTTTGTAGTGTTTATCATGTGACGGGTTACATTTGACTGGAGATTGATCACGCTGCCTATTGTATCTGCTAGTGTAATGTATGTTTAATGTATATGGCCTGTTATGTATGTGTCGTGTAATGAACATGCAATTGTCATCATCGGAGATCAGGATGTTGATGATGGTGTACATGGCCAATTGAAGGAATGGATGCTGCAATTATGTGTGTCGTGAGGCAGTGTTGAGGAAACGGGACATCAAAGAGAATCTGCAATGACATGAACCCAGTTTAACAAACGTGTTGTGCAGTAATCAGATTTGCATTTACAACCATAGCATTAGGTATGTCTGGATCAGATTTCAGTGTTGGAGTTCTGGAGAATGTCATCATGTATTTTTTATAAGTTTTCCTTTTCGGTGATGTTTCATCCAAGCTAAATAAGTAGGCTCCTCACTGGCATTGATGTATCTTGGAATGCCGGCTTGTGTATTATAAGCCAAATATGTAGTTTATCATCTATATATACCCAGTGTTCCCGTTTACCGGTAATTACCATTTTTTTCCCCCGGTAAAATTAGCCTTAGACCGTCAATTCATGTAACTGCCAGTCCCTGTGGAACGCAAATAAAGTACCTCATAAATCTGATATATTCATATAAGTATATTTTTCGAACAAAGTCAGCTTGTCTGTTACCATCAGGGTTTCCCCTTGTCGATTTTTAGTGCAAGAAAGTAACATTTCGCTTTGCTTCAAGGTTAAACATATATTTGTAGTGACTTTGTCTTGAAGTATTTAAAAAAGAAGAGAAAATTGTGACTGAACTTGTGAGTGAATGATGTGTTGATCTAACTAAGTTACTTCAGAGATGACGTCATTGCATTGAACATGAAGTTGAAAGAATTATAACCAGGTAATTTTTAAATGTTTTTTTATTCGTTGAAAGTTGGGACCGACAAAAATTAGGGGGACTGGTAATTTTTAGAGTTACCCGTCCACCAGGACTGGCAGTTTCAAGAGCCAGCGGGAACACTGATACCTCTCATCACTTGGTTGTACTCATTCCAGCATGGGAACAGTGTAAGAAACTACATCGAAACGTTGCTAATGCAATAAACCAGAAGTTGTTATTCTTAACATTCTACATTTCCGTGTATGTAGCTTATGTAAATAATAAAAATGGGAAGCTTGTGAATGTAAACAGTTATTTTAGTTGTTTTGACCCAGATGCCCCATCAAAGGAAATCATCATTCAAATTTCTATCTTTCAAAAAATAATTATATTCCATCATTGTTGCTATGACAACTAACTGTTTCATGGCACTCTTACTGTTTTATGGCCTATGTATAATCATACATAATAATACATCTTTCTTCCATGAATTTGAAAGAACATTATGTCTGTTGAGAAAGTGTTGGTAATCCTAACTGCCTGACCACAGAGTGAGGTCTTTTATTTTCTCAGAGAAATGATGAGA